AAACATAATCATACACACGCCTTTGTGAAATAATAGAGTCTTCATTGAGGTTTTCAACCAATAAGCTTTTATTGATTGAAAACCCCCCTTCGACTGTTGCGTTACCATGAGAGAGGATAAGAAAATTTTTTATAACCTCCCACCAATTTTAAAAATTTTTTTCTCCGTGCAAATCTTTAGAAAAAAATTTTTAAATCTCTTTTGCTGTGGATTAAACTCTAAGAAACTCTTTTGCTCTTCTTTTTTTTGGCAGCATCACAAAACAGTAAAAATTCCTTTTTTGATTTTTCTGCTGTTGTTTCAGCTACTATTGTCTGTAAACCAGTTATTCACACAAAGAGCAATAAACCTAGCAACACTATTAAAAATTCCTTATCATTGGATAAACAGGAGGAAAATTGCTAACAGGACAAGTTCTACCAGCGAAAGAGGAATGTTATTATGAGGAAATTACATATTTTGAATGACAGAATTTTTCCTTGAAACTTTATTTTTGCCTGTCAGTCTTTGAATGAACTATAGTTTTTTTTAATTTTCCTAACTATATGAATATGTAAGATAAATCCTGACTTTTTCCTGACTTCATGAATATGTAAGAAAAATCCTGATTTTTTAGCTTAATTTTAGAATAGCCTGACTTTTGCATGTTTTCCTGACCGTGCAGGAACCCTGTAATAGATAGTACCTATTATTTGGACGTGGGAAGTAGAGGCACAAGCATAAACAAACATAATTCTTTTTAGCATATACATGTTAAGGGAATAATTTTAACTTTAGTAGAAAAACTGTTTTCTGCCAAGAAAAGACAATTATTGTGAAGCAATCATGGGGGTTGGTGAGTGGTAGCGAACAGGGGGCTGAGCCCCCTAGTATATATATATAAAACAGATTTTTTTAGTCTAATAATTCTAGTTACTCTAATTGTCATTGAAATCAGTCATAAATTAAGAGCTTTAAGTAAAAAGGTCAAAATAGTGATATAAATGTGTGCTCACTTCGTCGATGGTACGAGCCAATCTTTTACTGTAAGGTTTTTTACCAACAAAATTGCTTTCACCAGTTTCTTCCTCGGAAGGAAATGAGAGGGGACCAATTATTTCATCCATACCATACTGCCTTATTTGAGAGTATGCCATCTTTGTCACTTTCTGAAGGTCATCTTTGGCCCCTACAAATAAATGGTCAGTCAATAGTGGTTTGGTTATTTCAACAGAGAGTAAAACATTAATAATTTATTACAATATGAAATGTAGGGTAAGGAATATCCAAAGGGGATTGTAACAATACCATATTTTTTTTTTTTTGGAAACACTTTCTTGAAATTTTTATATATCTTCTTTTCTGTTCTTCATTCTTTTCTGTTCTGCATTCTTTTTTTTCTGTTCTCAGATATATTTCATTCCAAATTAATTAAAACTTTGATTCTCAAATCATCTTCTTTTTCATTCTGCGTTCTTGCACTGAATAATACTGTATATTATAGAACCAAAACTATAATATTTCTGTTTGAAGTGGCATATTTTTGTGTACTTTTATTTTTATGTGGAGCTTTCTCGGGGTGGCCACAAACACTCAGAATAAAAAAAAAGACTTTCCAGACTGAATTTCCCTAATTTTCGTAACCAGTGGATATATTTTTATTAATTTTTCAGTCATGTCATAGTCTTAAAATGTATTACAAAGAACTTATACTTGTCATTAACATACAAGTAAATTGATTTTACTGATTTTTTTTAGCATTTCAGATGAATTTTCTGTGATTTCTCTAATTTTTGCAGAAAATTTCCCTGCTCTTCCTAATTTATGGCCACCCTGTTTGTTTATATAACAGTGTAAAGTTTACTCTTTTTATTTTTCACTTGAATTTATAGTATTGTTTGTTTAAAATTCAATCAAACTACCTGAAGAATGTTATGTTAAGCAGCATCTTAAAAGAATTGAGTCTCACTAAATAATGTATAGTTCAATCTTTTTATTTTTCACTTGAATTTATAGTATTGTAATTCAATCAAACTACTTGAAGAATGTAATGCTATGCATCATAAACGAATTGTGTCTCACTTATTATCAGATACCCAATAATTTGAATCTGACAAATGCTTTGTAAATTGAGTACTTTGATTTCTTTCCAACTTGATAATGGAGGCCAAGAAAAATGCATGTTCACAATTAAAGCAAAAACTTACCAGTACTAATTTGATTGAAGATTAATGCTTCAGCTGCTCTACCTCCCAATGCCATACACATTCTCTCAAATAACTGTAAACAAAAAGACAAATATTTTATTAGACTTTTGTGTATCATATATATATTTTTTTTTCAAAGAGAAAAAAACATTCTTATATACCTCCTCCTGTAATTTTAAATCAGGCTGCGTAGCCAGAATTTTCAACAAAAAAAGCACCTCTTAAGTTATTTTCAAGAAATTAAAAAAATATATTTAATTACTTTACTAAAAGGATCATAATAAGGATCTACTTAATAATAAATATTATTTTTTCTATCGTTTATAGTTCTTAATTTATAAGTTCTTATTTATAAAGTTTTTATCTTATTTATAAAATTCAAAAACATTTCCAAAAACTTTACATAATCATGATAAAATAACTAGCTACTGATAAAAGCTGCAGAGAAAATTGAGAAAAATCAAGAATTTTTTTAAAAATTTATAACGACAATCGAAACGACTAAGAAAAAACTCTTTCTAAAATAGAGAAAATTAAGCACTTTTCACAAACCCCAAATAAAAAAAGCACATTTAAAGGCTTTTAAAAAATGCAAATAAAAAATAATCACCTTTTAAAAACACTACACACCCTGTAAATGCTAAGACATTTTTTTAAAAAAGTCTTTGGATGTAGAAGTGAAAAAAAATCCACAGTTATGCTATCTGAATAAAAAGAGTTGAATGTGCTGTGAAGATGAACAATTATTTAAATTATAATTTATCACAAAAATTAATTTACCACATTTGAACTTCTTTGAGTTCATATTTCATTGAACTGTTGGAAAAGAACTTCAAATACCTTGGAACAATAATCAATGATCAAAACAGCATAAAAACAGAAGTAGACAACAGAATTAAAATGGCAAGCGTTTCTTTGGACTAAGAAAGCAATTAAGATCAAGCCTAATCAGTCAAAAAACTAAAATTACAATTTATGATTCTTATTCTACCTGTATTGCTCTATGCAAGTGAAACATGGACACTAAACGTAGACACTCAGTGTACTCTTGGTGTTTTTGAAAGGAAAATCCTTAGAAATATTTTTGGCCCAGTACAGGAGAAAGGTTGTTGGCGAATCAGATACAACTTTGAATTATATAGACTCTATGGACAGCCACAGATAGTGCAGGTCATCCGAAGCAATAGATTAAGATGGCTTGGCCATATCTGGAGAGGTCCAGAAAATAATGCAGTCCGAATCGCCACCTTTTAAAATCCTTCGGGATCTCGGGCTAGAGGAAGACCTCCAACTAGATGGCTGGGTGACACTGCTAAAGATCTAAAAGTATTAAAGATAAATAACTGGAAAAAAGTCGCCATGGACAGGAAGCGTTGGAGGCTACGCGTGGTTGAGGCAGCCAAGGCTTGTAAGGGGCTGTCGTGCAGAAGAAGAAGTTGGAAAAGAACACAGAAAATTATAGAATTGATTCAGGTAAAAAAATATTAGTATACAAATCACAATTTATTCACCTTTTGATTTAATTCATTGAGTTCAGTAGGAAATTTATTTACTTATTCTTTAATTTATTTATTCTATGCTGCAATGTTAATTTAAAAGACAATTCAAATAAATTCGATGCATCATTTTGAATTTGACAAAAGAATCTTCGTGTTGCAAAATGCTTATAGTGAGCATACAATACATTGATAACAGGCCTTTGTTATAACAATTTTGTACAATTTTAATATTTAGGGCAAACATGTTGCAGTAAACTGCTGCCGACCGCATAGCAAAGGAAGTGGTGAGAAGTATTTAAGAACAAGAACTTGAAAATAAAATATTAAAATTCAATTTAAAAAAAATATTTTCAGATCTATACATACTCAATATACATATATTATATAAGGGGTGGCCAACCTGGGGCTCGCGAGCCACATGTGGCTCTTTGAAGAATTATTTGAGGCTCTCAATAAATATACCCGAGTTCCCTTTTCATTTTTGTGCTATTATATTTTTTAAAAATTATTATCGTTCCATTGTGTTTCAAAATGTCTTTTAAATTACTGAGAACAAATATGAAAAACTAAGTGCAGCGTTGTTCAATTCAAGGTGAGTTTTCCATTTCCAACATAATTATGACACAAAAAGCATCTGTAGAATTAGAATTAATAAAGTGGCAAGAAGATCAAGCTCTACAATTAAAATATATGTCGACGTCGATTCCTGAATTTTGGAAATTTGTACCAGAATCGAAGTATCTTGAATTAAAAAAGGCTGTTGGTCAAATTATTTCAATATTCGGAACAACGTACTTATGTGAATAATTTTATTCCACTTTGAAATTCCTGAAATCCAAACACCGATCAGCATTAACTAACCAGCATCTCAAGGAAATACTGAGAAGTGCTGTCACCAATTTTTAAAGAATTAACAAGAGAAGTAAAATAAATGTGCTTAATTTTTAATATTTAAATTCAATACACATATTTTGTACTTTTACTTATATGTTTTCAATAAATATAATAATTGTAAAAAAAATTTAATACCTTTTTTGCATACCTTTTAAATACGTATTTATTTGCGGCTCGCAAATAATTTCAAATTTTGAAAAATGGCTTGATTATTAAGGAGCTTGGCCACCCCTGTATTATATTATGCAAAAATTTATATATGTATAAAAATATACATATACATATACAGGTAACATTTATTCAGAGTCAATGTTAACATTTTCTCGTAAGGCAAGGATTGCAGAAAATGTTCAGAATTACAGCTTCGCTTATAATGATAACTTGATCCAACTCATGATTCCTCTCAGTTACACCTCAATTTTTGTGCATTGAGTTTATTTCTGGTACTTCGTAATGAGCCGCTAAGAGCAGCATCAGGCTCACTTGCTAAAGTTTATTTAATTTAATATGTAAATAGTAAGCAGTATTTTACTTTAACTGCTTGGAACAGAGTTACTAATATCTCATAAGTAAATGTATGCAGGGGTGATTGTGAGCCCAAGTCAAAATTCCGTAAAATTTCTTGAGTAAAAAAAAAAAATGTTTAACTCGAAAAATTAGAAAAAAATTTAAACAAGGATTTTTCCTTTTTCTCAATATTTCTTAGTTTATTTAAAATTTTACCCATACCTATACCATTTACAAATACCTATGATGACCTGGAGAAGTAATTGAAATTTATAAATATGTCTTTCTTTCTTGAGTTTATTGTAACTATTTACTGATAAAAAATGAATATTAATCTTGAATATAAGCTGATAAAGTATCAGGCTTTCCCTTACAAACAAATAAAATAAACTGTGTTTTCAAGTTCCACCTTTGAAAATTTGATTTCCGGAAACTTTTGTGATCAATGATTTTCTTAAACGTTTGAACCTTCGATCTCCGGAAACTTTCGGATCACGGTTAGCGAAAAATCCGGANATCATTTTATTCCAATTCCTTTGAAATTCGTGAAATCCAAACACCGATCAGTATTAACTAACCAGCATCTCAAGGAAATACTGAGAAGTGCTGTCACCAATTATTCACCAATTTTTAAAGAATTACCAAGAGAAGTAAAATAAATCTGTTTAATTTTTAATATTTAAATTCAATACACATATTTTGTACTTTTACTTATATGTTTTCAATAAATATAATAAATGTAAAAAAAATTTTAATACCTTTTTTGCATACCTTTTAAATACGTATTTATTTGCGGCTCGCAAAGAATTTCAAATTTTGAAAAATGGCTCGACTATTAAGGAGCTTGGCCACCCCTGTATTATATTATGCAGCATCAGGCTCACTTGCTAAAGTTTATTTCATTCAATATGTAAATAGTAAGCTGTATTTTACTTTAACTGCTTGGGACAGAGTTACTAATATCTCATAAGCAAATGTATGCAGGGGTGATAGTGAGCCCAAGTCAAAATTCCGTAAAATTTCTTGAGTAAAAAAAAATGTTTAAATCGAAAAATTAGAAAAAAATTTAAACAAGATTTTTCCTTTTTATCAATATTTCTTAGTTTATTTAAAATATATTTAAAATTTTACCCATACCTATACCATTTACACATATCTATGATGACCTGGAGAAGTAATTGAAATTTACAAATATGTCTTTTTTTCTTGAGTTTATTATAATAACTATTTACTGATAAAAAATGAATATTAATCTTGAATATAAGCTTATAAAGTATCTGGCTCTCCCTTACAAACAAATAAAATAAACAGAGTTTTTAAGTTCCACCTTTGAAAATTTGATTTCCGGAAACTTTTGTGATCAAAGATTTTTTTAAACGTTTGAACCTTCGATCTCTCGTAACTTCCAGATCACGGTTAGCGAAAAATCCAGATTTTTTCCGGAGCACAATCAGCCCTGTGTATGAGTATAAATACTGTCACGAAACTAAATCTTATATTGGTGGCATGACAGCATTTAAACTCATACACTGATTATTTCTAATAACATGCCAGCTATTATTGATTTTATTGCCCCCCGTATTTTTACTCATATTCTAAAACGGGGTTGCTTCTTTACAGACAAAACAACATTCCTCGAAATTTCTACTCTTTAGCTGAAAAAAAAAAAATTTGCTTTCAAATTAAAATTTGATTGTGATAGCATTAGCTGATTGATAACAATATATAGATGGCCTAGAAAAAGATCTTTTGGTCTTAAAAAACTAAAAACTGGAAAACACGCAGTAAAAAAACTTCTTGAGAAGGCAAAGGCCCACCCTGGCCTGTCGAGCCATTGATGATGACAGATGAAGATGTAATGTGCATTCATTCTTGCAACACTGTAGCAGGCAAAGCTATGATCACAGTAGAGTAATGAATGTCTTACTATAAGTTTAAGTTTTGAAGCAACAGGTTCATAACTGTTATAAGCCAATGACTGCAACAATTTGGACACATATAAACATGTTTTATAAGTTGAGTATTTTTAAGGATTTTTTTTTGAAAATCAAACTGCCTTATTTAAATAACTTTTTTTCTAAACAGAATTATTGGGAAAGCTGCTTGACTGCACAGAATCATTAAAAGCATTTGAAAAAATTTATACTGATTTGTCACTAGGTAGAACATAGACAAATTTATATAAATTAAGCAAATTATGTATATTTTGACCACTTTTAAGAACAAAACTAAAAATAAATTAATAAACATTTTAAAAACTATGTTTTTTCATGTTGATTGAAAAGGAAAAAAAGTAATTTTATTGTGTTAAACCTAAAATGGAAAATGTTGGGCATATTTTATGACAACCAAAATTTTTTGTAACACCTTTTGAAAGTTAATCATGCTACTTTCTTTATTTTGTTTTAGATGTCAAAAATAAAATAAAAAGTTATTCCTCTTTTCTTTCTTCTGAAAAAAAAAGTTTTATTTTATTTTATTACTTCTGTCCAAAGAATTAAAATTTGGCAACAACAACTAATATATTTTGCATTTAAAGCATGTTAAACTTACTTCTTCCGATGAATACAGCTTTTGATCTGAAGGAAGGTATTGAGCAAAACCTAGAACGTTTGTAGTTCTCGGAACAATGGATACCTTCAAATGAAAGTAAAATATACATGTCCACACAGTAAAAATATATGCCAATACAAATTGATTGATACATAGCAAATACAATTGATAAGAAAGTTCAAATATGATAATATTACTATCATTATGGATGGTGTTTTCAATATAAATGTAAACAATAACAATCTTGAGCTCGATACCTGCTCTAGTTTCGGTTAAAAAGTTTGACGCTGCTTACTACACGTTATTCTGCGAGGCGATATTTTCAAACGGATAATTTTGTTTTCATCAAAAGAAGTAAATTAGATAATTTCTGAGCTCAAATCTGCCATATTTCATAAGATATTAATGTTATTAAATAATTCTGGTGAGTTTAAAGTGAAAATTTGTTTTAGTTATTTATATATTGTTAAAAAAGGTGACATGGCTGCTAGATTTTGAACAACTCGCTTTTTGGCTGTCATGATTTGGCCTCTTTCCATTTGTTTATTACTGTTTGCTCTTGTAGCAAGCTGTGCACCATTTTACGTTAGTGTTAACACTTTTACCATTGTAAACATAAGTAATAAGTAATCAAATACCATGTTTGCAGGAATCTCAAAACAAAATGATGCCAAATGGCATTAAAATACAAAGGAAACAGTAAACTGGAAATTTAGGCGGTATCGAGCTTGCAGCGTTCCCTAGTGTAGAAAACACCATCCATTAATAGCATATCTAAAAGACATTATCGCAAATATTAACCATGATGATAATTATTGAATATGATATTACTATGAGAGTTGATACATTTTTAGAAGGTAAAGGGGAAACATTGATTACTGTAAAAATAATATAAAATAGTTGGTAAAATATCACGATTCATAGTAAAATATTGATATTTTTTGACACTATATTACAGTATCAAAATTTATGCAATATTGGTCATAGGAACCGACTTTTGTGTTGCTGAATGCTCGGAAAAGCAGCCGACAACATGCGGTTTCTATAACCGATAATTGTATATTTCTACAGAATATCAAAAACAGGACATTAATGTCAAAGGATTAGAGTCGATATATTCAGATTAAATTTAAAAAGTTTAATTATAGTGGAATACATAAGGAAAAAATTGACTTTTATTAAAAATAATCTCGATAGAAACATTTTTTTAAGTTAACTTCATAACGGAATGTTTGAAATAATAATTCTGATGATACGCATTATCGAGCCGAGATGACTCGGGTAGAGCATTCCCTTTCTAATGAGGTGAACCGGATTCCCAGCGATGGCTGGTCGAAAGGAATTTCACATCCCGCTTGCACTGATTGCAGTGCTGATGTGAAATATTCTCAGTGGTAGATGAATCATGGGTTAGAGTCCGCTAGCCGCCAGGCTAACCGTGGGAGGTTCTTGAGGTTTCTTCTCCATGCAACGCAAAAGCGGGTTAGTTTCATTAAAAAATGCTTCATGAAGGCAAATTTCTCCCAATACTTGATCCAGGAGTTCCCTTGTCTTCTGGATTGGGTTCAAAATTACAAGACTTCAGAGTTGAATATTAGTAGTCGTAGACCCAAAATTGGGTCGCCTGTTCTATGACGGTTATAAGATATGCATTATCTCTAGAATGAATTACACCAGTGGTTCCTGAAACGGGTGGGCACATGTCAGAGAGAATTGGTTTGAAAGAAATTCCATTAAATAGACTCTTTTTTTCGTTAAAAAATATGAAAGCTAAAAGTCTAAAAATGGAAAGGATGACATTCTGGAAAATTCATCATTAGATGACAGCCACTTCGTCATATAGAGAATTAGCCGCATAATAATACATTACATATTCCAAAAACTATTTCCCCATCCAAATATTTTGTGTTTCTGTTTTATATTGTAGTCAACAATAATTAAGTATTAAAATGCTCTCATTTGTTATAAATTGTATGTATTTGGATATTGAGAAGCTGATCAATTAAACCAATTTTTTTTCGTTGCTAAGCAACAAAGTCATGAGATTTTTGGCACTAATTCATCAAATACACTCGATACAGAAGTAAACAGCCAAAGCCCTCTTCACCAGGTCCCGACTTAGCCTAATTGGGGCCCGGGGCAAAAACTTCTTTGTAGAGGTCCTCACTGCTTCAATAATGAAGAACCAAACTTTATGGAGGTATTTAAATTTTCACCTCATTATGCATAGGTAAAAAAAATTTGACTAGAACCTAAAATAGCTATTAAGTCCTCCCTCTAATGGTCAGACGAAATATTGTTCTGTGCATTTTATTGATTTTCTGACAATTCTATGTCCATCATGCCAAATGCAGACTTCGGACTGTTATTTTCAGATTGTTAACTTTGACATCTAGCTGCGAAAAATTCTTATTCTGGCTGACATTAGGGAGGAATACAGCTGAATTTTAGCAATTATGATGGTTGAATTAAGCCAATCAGAAGTCTATATTTTTGTAAACACATCGCATTTTGAGATATGTAAAAATACAGCTTTTGATTGGCCAAATTTCTCTTTCATAATTGCGAGCTGAATTCCGCCTTAGAAAGCCACGGATTTACGAAATATAGATTTTTTGTGTTCATACAATGGATTAGCTAGAAGAAGCTAATAGAAAACTGACATATTTTTCCCTGCACTGATATTTTGATCAAAAAAAAATTCATTAAAGAAGGAAACCTAAAATAAACTTTTTATTCGATTTTGGGGCCGCCTATGATGTGGGGCCCAGGGCAACTGCCCTCGCCTTTGTCAGGCACTGTTCTTCACGTCTTTTGTGTCCATAGCCTACACATATGGTTTGCATGGGGAAAACATAGGGTACGTCGATGGTTATCGCTGAATGCATAATGTTTAGCAGACAAATAATTAATAAATGAAGAGTGGCCGGGGATAGCCTGGTGGGCAAGGGGCTGGGCCCACTTCCGACAGTTTGAATCCCGCCGGCCGAAGACTCCTCGTGTAGTAAAGTGACTGATGCACATTAAATCTTTCAAGTCGCAAAAGTCCTCCATGTTCCCATAACAAATCAATACCTCTGGGGGTACTGGATTGGTGATCGATCGTTCTGTGATTTTCAGATCAAAATTACGATCTGTGAATGTATAAATGTGTCCGCCCTATAAACGGGTGTGGCGTATGGTGTGGCAGAAGTCGAATTCTTGGCCATAGATGGCGCGACTGAAAAACAAGAAATGCACACTCTGCCTTAAATTCACCAAGCAGGTTGACCGTGTGGCATTAGAAACAACATAAATGAAGAAAAATGAACTTACTTTCATCAGTGCATCTGTATATTTCATAAGCCATCCAACTAATGCGTGCCCACATTCATGAAAAGCAATGATTTTCTTCTCTTGAGGAGAAATCACTTTACTTCTTTTCTCCGTACCTGCAATTTGATTCAAAACTATAGATTACAGCTAAAGGGTTCCCACTCTCTTTACTAAAGCAAAAATTAAGCACCTTTCTTTAAAAAAAAAATTTAAGACTTTAAAAATACGCTGGTGGACAAAATTAAGAGATGGAAGACATTTTCCCAAATATCTCAAAAAATACTGAATATAAATAAATGAAATTTGGTATGGATATAGCTTATTCCATGATAATAAAGTATGCAAAACAAAAATGAAAATGCCATTCACTGGCAAGACCTATTCCCAATAAATCCAATGTAGTCTGAACTTAAGAATAAAAGATGACAATAAAAGTGAGGCTTGTACAGTGTGTGTTGCCTCTAGTATGGTGTATGGGCACCCCTGACAGCATGCACAACGAGTATGCATGCTGTTAATAAGAGAGTTAAGGAGGAAGACCCTCCCATTCTTCCACCAGAGCAATTTTTAACTCCAAAATGGTTCTGGGGGGAGGAGAGGTTGGCGCATCGCAATAGCTCTCCCAAGACCATCCCAAGCATGTTCAATAGTGTTGGAAAATGTAAACAAATAGATGGGCAGTATTTTCCTCTTGGCTGAGTCACTTCCTGTGGGAAGTTGGGTCACTTCCTGTTATCTCAGCTAGAAGGAAGTGGGTGTTTCTGCTTTTAGTCAGTTATATCGTTGCTGTGGATAGAAGATGTTTCTTCTCTTATGTTATGTTTAGAGAGAGCTATGTGATGTTAAAGAGTTATGTTTAGTTCAATTGAATGTAGTTTTTCTTACTTTATATTTAAAGATTTATATTCAATAAATATAGTTGAGCAGTTTTCCATGAAGTGAATTCTTGAGTAGTAATAGATGTCTTCAATATCTTATACTTAGTAAGCTGGCCCCTATTTTTCAACATTGGTTATGGGCCAGGACATTTAGTAGGGGACCGTGAAGAATTTGTATTGATAATTTGAAACATATTTTGAAGAACTTTTATAGAGAATGGCTTTGCTACCAGAAGGCTTTAACTTATTAAGTTATGATAATTGGGACAAGTGGAAAACAGACATTAAAATATTGTTATTAGATAAAGGCTGTTGGAAATTTATTGATGGAAAAGAAGAAGAGTTGGAAGTTTCAGCTACAAGAAGAGAAAAACAGGAATTTGAATTAAGAAGAGATGGATCATTTTCTACACTGTATTATGCAATTCAGCCAGAATTCAGACCGCTTATTCAAGATTGTTTAGATGGTAAAAAGGCTTGGGAGAAATTGGTTCAGCATTTTGAGCCAAAAACAAGAGGCAGACTCATTCAGATACTTGATGAGTTTTTTAGCATTAAGTATCAAGCTAATGAAAGTATAAGCCTTTTTATTGCTAGACTTAAAACAGCGGTGAAAAAGCTTAGTGAATTAAATCAGTTGTTTCAAGGATTCCAAGCAATAAGGCATCTACCACCTGAGTTCTCCGGTATAGTTCAGTTAATTTATCGTTGGAAGGATGAAGATTTTACGATTGATAAAATTGCCGAAGAACTGATAAGAGAAGAAAGCAGACTTACACAAGTGAAAGCTGATATTCGTCCAGAGGTTAGTGCGTTTAACATTTCTTCTATAAGTAAAGATGAAGAAAGATATGGAGACAGAAAAAAATCTCAAAGTAAATTTGTAGAAAGTAATAGAAAAGTCCTTGGTCCATGTCATCACTGCCACAAGTATGGACATTTAGTTGCAAATTGTAGAGATAGATATGTCAGAAATGTAAAGTCAAAGTGGGGTAAACAGAAAAGGAATTTCAATGATCAGTCAGCTGCTTTAGTTGAGACTTATTCAACACACTCTGTGGAAGTTGGTGAAACCATGTTTAAAAATGATGATAGAATATGGGTTTTGGATTCCGCTGCAACTACACATTTCTGTAAAAACAAAATGTTAATGTCAAGGTATGAAGAAACAAATAATGTAAGCATGGCTTTGGCTGTTGGGGATACTTCTAGTAAGGTACTAGGAAAAGGAACTGTTGAATTTTCAGTTAAAGTAGGAAAAGAAATGAGTAATATAACTTTAACAAATGTTTTATACAACCCAAGTATTCGAAGAAACCTAATATCTATTTCACGATTAGAAGCTGCAGGAGCTAATTTTGTTGGAACTAAGGGAAAATTATGGATTTATTCAAATGATTGGTTGAAGTTATTTTATGCCACTAGAAGAGATGGATTGTACTACCTGAAGCCATACAAATATAAAACTGGAACTCCAAAAGCTGAAAATAGTGGACTTAATGTTGGCACTTGTAAATCAGGAACAGATATAGCCACATTGTGGCATAGGAGATATTGTCATATTAATTTTGACTACCTTAAAGAAACTAGCAAGAACCAGAGTGTAAGGGGATTACCTAATATAGAAAAACCAGATGAAAATTGTGTCACTTGCCTCCTTGCCAAGTCCAATAGAATCTCATTTAAATCAATTCCAAGTCGTACTTCTCAACCCCTTGAAGTAGTATATATGAATATCTGTGGTCCTATGCCGAAAACTTCAAAAGAAGGAAATAGGTATTTTTTGGCAATTATAGATGATTACAGTCGTGCAGTAGTTTTATACCTTATGAGGAATAAAAGTGAAGCATTTAGGAAATTTAAGAATTATCATGCAAAGATGGAACGCTTGACTGAAAGAAAATTAAAGTGTATCAGGAGTGACAATGGCGGTGAGTTCTGCAATAACCAATTTGAACAATACTTAGAAGAGCATGGAATTCGTGCTGAACGAACTAATTACTATACGCCAGAAGAAAATGGTGTATGTGAAAGATTTAATAGAACTGCTCTGGATGTCATTAAATCTATGCTGGAGGATAGTAACATGAATGAAGAATGGTGGGATTGAAGCAGTATGTTGTTTTGTTCATACGTGGAACAGAATTTCAAGAAAGGGAAAGAAAACGCCATAGGAGATGTTGTATAGAAAGAAACCACCAGTAATGTATTTTAAAGTGTTTGGATGCAAGGCTTATGTTGGTGCACCTAAACAAAAGAGAAATAAATTCCAAATGCGTGCCAAAGAAGGTATAATGCTAGGTTATGCTTTTTCAACCAAAGGCTACCGTATCTACTTACCTGAAGATCGAAAAGTTATAGAAACAAAAAATGTTAAATTCAATGAAAATGAATTTGCAGTGGAAGTCATCCTGGACCCAAGTAGAAAACCACCAAGAAGAACAAAATGGAATGAAAAAGAAGAATCAAGTGATGAAGATATTATTCATAGGCCAGAATTTGACTCAAGTTGTAGTCATGAAAGCATCAAGAAGGTATCAGATTTAAACTGGTTAAGAAAAGCAACTAAACGATCAGATGGATCTAGAAATGATATTTATTATTTCATAGAAGGGTCTAAAAACCGATTTAGGTCATCAAATGACATTGAGAAATATTGCGATAGTCATGGAATTAAATTTGAAAAAGATATATTTGATTTTAGTGGTAGGAATGAATACTCTGGTAAAGTAACCAGAAATGAAGTCAGCATAGTACAAGAAGATGAAGCAAATTTAATTGAGTATAATATTCCAAAAAGCTACAAAGAAGCAGTTGAGTCAAGAAATTGTGAAAAATGGAAGAGGAAATTGAAATGATGAAGAAAAGAGAAGTGTGGTCATTGGTAGAGAAGCCGAAAGATACTAAAGTGATAGGTATTATATGGGTATACAACCTAAAAACCGATGAATTGAAGAAAATTGTGAGACATAAAGCCAGACTTGTTGCACAAGGATTTAAGCTTTATATGCAGACTTAACAGAAGAGATTTATATGGAACAACCTGAAGGTTTTGTAGTGGATGCATCAAAAGTGTGTAAATTAAAAAAGGCAATATATGGATTACGTCAATCAGGACGTGAGTAGTACACTGAAGTAACTAGTGTATTATACGAATTAAAACTTGAAAAATTAGATTGGTGAAATGGAATATTCACAGGAGATAATGTGTTGCTATTGTTATATGTAGATGATATTGTGATAATGGGAAAAAGTCAAAAGAACATAGATCTAATTTTAAAAGAGTTGAATCAAAATTTTGAATTAAAGGTTTTGGGAGAAACAAGGAAACTTTTAGGTATAGAATTTGAGAAAATTAATGGTCATTTAGTAATCCACCAGAAAGAATATATAGAGAATACAGTGAAGCATTTTAGCAAGTGGTACAACATACCCATAGTTTCATTGCCAATAGCTAAAGGATTAAATTTGTCAATGCAGGATTGCCCACAAACAGAAATGGAGAAAGCAGAAATGGAAAACATTCCATACCGAAGTGTTCTTGGATGTGTGTCCTTTATAGCAAGTAGGACAAGACCTGAAATATCTTATGCTGTTAATATTTTATCGCAGTATCAAGAAAATCCTGGTATCAAACATTGGCAAGCTTTACTGAAATTATTAGGGTATCTGCAATATACAAAAGAAAATATGCTTGATTTGTCGAAAATCTTAGATTTGTCAATAAAGTGCTACACGGATGCAGACCATGCATCAAACAGAGATGACAGAGTGTCAATAGGAGGAACTATTGTATATGTAGGTGATATCCCTATCTTGTGGAAAACCTTTAAACAGAAAAGTGTTTCAATTTCTACCATGGAGGCTGAGTATATCTCTTTATCGGAGTCAGCCAAGGAGTTAGTGTGGTTAAAAAATGTGCTAACTGATAAGAAACTCAAATTGGACGTACCAAGCTGTGAATTGTTTTGTGATAACAGGGCTGCTATTGATTTTTCTAAATCTGAGGTTGAGAACTCTCGCAGCAAACACATTGATGTTCGTTACCATTTTGTGAGACAATATGTGAATGACAAATTCTTTGAATTAAGATATGTTAGAACTTTGAACAATACAGCGGACTTGTTAACAAAGCCTGTGGTTAAAGAACGAATGAGATCCTTCTGTAATAAAACATATTTAAGGACTTAACTCAAGGTTACAAATAAGTGTTTAACTTTTTAGCACATCAAAAGGAAAAGGGGGCCGAATGTTGGGAAAATGTAAACAAATAGAAATGTAAACAGTATTTTCCTCTTGGCTGTGTCACTTCCTATGGGAAGTTGGGTCACTTCCTGTTATCTCAGCTAGAAGGAAGTGGGTGTTTCTGTTTTTAGTCAGTTATATCTTTGCTTTGGATAGAAGATGTTTCTTCTCTTATGTTATGTTTAGAGAGAGCTATGTGATGTTAAAGAGTTATGTTTAGTTCAATTGAATGTAGTTTTTCTTACTTTATACTTAAAGATTTATATTCATTAAATATAGTTGTACAGTTTTCCATGAAGTGAATTCTTGAGTAGTAATAGATGTCTTCAATATCTTATACTTAGTAAGCTGGCCCCTATTTTTCAACAAATAGGATTCAGGTCAGGGGATTTGGCTGACCAATCCATTCGTTGCTTATCCTCGCTTTCCAGATACTCATCAACCATGAAAGCCCTATGTGGTCGCGCATTGTCGTCCATAAAAATGAACTCAGGGCCAACAGCGCCCCTGAAAAGACGCACAGAGGGCTCTAAGACCTCCTGCCTGTATCTGTGGGCATTCACGGAACTATTGTCAAACAGATGGAGCGGTGTGCGGGTATCTTGCATGATCTCTGCCCAAACCATGAGTCCTCCACCAGCATAATAGTCCCTTTCGATAATGTTGCTGGGATGGTATCGGGTTCCAGGTTCCCTCCATATCAATAACCGTCCAGAATCAGGTTGTGAACTGAATCTGGACTCATCGGTGAAGAGAACATTAGCCCATTAAAGCTGTGTCCAATTCTGATTTTGTCTTAATTTTGCCCACAATGATTAGTATGACTGTTTATCATCAAATATACATATACCACCACTGACAGTGCCAATTATTTACTTTTCTTAAAAAAAATCAATAAATTAAAAAATAATAAAAAGAATTTTATTACAATGTAAGCACTGATATAATTGTATTAATTAACAGGGCTTACAAAAGAAGTACCAATCAATTTTTGAAAATCTGGGGAGTTTTATTTTTTTTTTTAAATTTCAGATTGTTAAAGGCTAATGTCATCATCGAAACTAATCTGTATTACATTTTAAATGATTTCCTTGAAATTGAAATGCAAAAGAAATTCTCGAAAATGTTCCACGCTCGATGCATAGTCTAATTCTAGGTGATAAAAGATTGAGTTTTTGTTTTAAAAAATTTAACTGAAAAATTGTTCCTATCAATTACAGTGATGCTGAAAAATTAAGGACTTTTAAAAACCTTGTACCAAAACTAAGCACTTATAAGGGCCCTTATTTTCCAAAATAAAAATTAAGCAGTTTTTAAGGACTTTAAAGGACTGTGGAAACCCTGTGCTAAATCAAAGACAAGGACTGATCTCCTGAAAATACAGGGTCATTCCAAATGAATACAGAGATTAAAGACGCCTATAACCATTTAATGAAAAAATAATTCATCAATAAAATTCACACAGAATGTAGAAGGAACTTCAAAATTTTGTATGACATGCAGATTTTTTATGTGACTTCTCTCTGTTGCACGGACAACATCTAGGCGGTAGTAGATTCCATTCTGAAGCATTTGTGCAGTCACCGACGCAAAGGCATTACCAATGTGTTCTTCAATTGTTTTCCTATGCAAACATTCTATGCCATCTGCATATGTTGATCCCATTTTCAGGCTATCGATTGTAACACTGACAAAATCTTCTCTGTACTTTGATAACAGAATGAAAATTGTTAAATTCTAATATGCAGAATGCTTTCTACATGGGTCTCGCCACTTTCACTAATGAACTCTGTGCATGCGTAGGATTCCGCTTCACTTACGTAAAGAAATTTAGAATTTCTATCTACATTCTATTTCAATGTCATTGATAAATTATTTTTTCATTAAATAGTTATAGCTAAACGCCGGTGGCTGAGTGGTAGCGCATCTCGCTCCCCTGCCACAGGTCCTGGGTTTGATCCTCGGGTCGGGCAGGGTTGACTCAGCCTTTCATCCCTTCAGTGGGTCGATAAATGAGTACCAAGCATGCTTGGGAACTAAACACTGGGGGTTTCGCGTTCGGCTGACCACCTAACCGGAACATCTGCTTCTGCACCCCAGAGCCCAAGGGCAAGAAAACTGAGATGGGCACAGTAGGCCATGGCCCTCTATGGGCTGTCGCGCCGCTGAGTTTAGTTTTAGTTATAGCTAAGAACTAGAATAGCCTGGTAGGTAGGGCACTGAGCTTGTGCCCAAGAGTTCCAAGGGTTTGATCCCCACTCTCCGAAGACTCCCCGTGTAATAAATGATCATTGATGCACGCTAAATCAGTCGAGTCTCAAAGTCCTCCATGTTTCCAGAACAAATCAATACCTCTGGAGGTAACAGGGTGCATAGCCAAATTATTCAACAAAAAATAAGCACCTTTTAAGCACTCAAAACATATTTGTAAGCACTTTATATCATAATTAGACAGGATTTTAAAGTTTTTGACAATTGACGGTTTTATTTTGTTTTAACCGTCATGTCAAAAGAAAAAAAAAATTTATTGCATTGTTTTTGACAATTGTCAAAAATCATAAAATATTGAATCATGTAAAATTAATGGCGTTTTCATATGCTACGGACTGACAATACGCCAAAAAAAAATTGGGGTTGAATTTGTTGAATGAGTTAGTTTATATTGTTGTACATAGATGGCACCACAAATGCTGACATAGATGGCAGCAGTGTTGTCATTAATATAACCTCTTATCTATAATAAAATATTTAGTCCAGTTTCAGCCTTTACTCAGGTATGTTGATTTATTTCTCATGACCGCCATGCTTAAATTATTGTGTTAAGTCTTTAGAATTAATTGAGAAAATGCTGAATGGATCAATGTAAACTGTGCTTTTTTGCATAATTCGTAGTAAAAATTGACATGGTAAAGAAAAAAATCTAATTTTCAAAAAAGGAAAACTAAGTACTTTTTTAAAAACACCCAATGAAAAAAGCACCTTTAAGGGCTTTTAAAAATCGAAAATAAGCACCTTTAAATACTTTTTAAAAATGCTACGCACCCTGGGTAATGATCAAGGAGTTTCCTTGTCTTCTGGAATTGGTTCAAAATTACATGGCTATGGAGTTGAACACTAATAGTCATAAACTCAAAATTTTGTCGGCTGTTCAACGTTGGATAAAATAAAAATAGTTACAGCTGTTTGTAATCGCTATATTCATTTTGAATTACCCTGTATTATGTGAATGACATTGAATATGTTTCCAAGCAATGTACTTTCGGTACTGGGCTGTTCAGAGAAGAAAAAAAAAACTTTCCTATTTTGGAATACTCTTCAATTCTGAAGCTCTTTATGAAATTCTTTTAGGAAACTTTTCATAATCAGAAGTTCTTCAAGGGATCGGCAGAAGAAAGTTTCAATAATAAAAAAATTTTCTTACATAAACAAGCTATGAAAATGTCAAAGGAAAACTGAAGAGCATTCCTGACATATTCCGAATACAAAAGAAAGCTACTTTTACGCAATATAATTTATTGCAATAATAATTTATTAAAAACTATGAAAACCTAAATTATAGAATGAACTCCTAATGAATGGGATTTTCAAATGAAAAACTAAAATAAAACAGAAGAAATTATGTCTATAATTACCGCCGACAACTCTTTCAACAGCATATTCTAAATCAGTAGAAGAAACTTTTTTCTTTTTGTTGCGTGCAGCATACAGAGCTGCTTCATTGCATACATTGGCAATGTCAGCACCTGAAAAATTTAGATCTCCAGGTTATGAATCTTAAGCAAAAAATATTTTTTCTATTATTTTATAATCTTAAACATTTCAACAACAAAAAGAGGTCAAATAGTAAAATAAATAAATTTTTAGATTTAACAAAAATGTATAAAAGTTTCAATTTGTTTGAATCTACAGAAGTTTTGAATAAAGTTTCTAAAAATATTAACTGTATAAAGACAGATAAAAAAAAAACCCTTGAAGATATTGTTTCAAGTGTTAATTTCTATCAATTTAAATTACAAAACTATACAAATAAATAAAAACTCTTTCCTCTTACTGCAATCAGGATTTTTTGAGCAAGCAAAATAAATTTTGATCTTACTTAATAAAAACTGGAAACCAAATAAAAGAATAAGTTCATAGAATGAAATGAATTAAAAGAAAAACCAAAATTACCACTAAATCGGGGAGTTAGTTTAGCTAATCTCTCAGAGTAAGAGTCAGGAGTTGATTCCAAAGTAATAGATTTCAGGTGTTGCTGAAATATTTCCTGCCTTTCTATCAGAGTTGGCAAATCAATTAGAATGTGCCTATCAAAACGGCCAGGTCGCAATAAAGCCTAAAAGAGACTCCTTTATTAGATTAATATTATAAACAATATATAATATAAACAATATTAAATGAATATTAACAGTTTTAAACTACTGTTGATATACTGAACAAAGCAGAGTCTCTCAACAACAAATCTGGTAAGTTCTCGTTCAAAAACTTACAGTACAAACATTTTGTATAATGAAGGTAAGGGAGTTCTGCAGTCACTTACTACTAGTTTTTAACTACTGTTGATATACTGAACAAAGCAAAGTCTCTCAACAACAAATCTGGTAAGTTCTCATTCAAAAACTTATAGTACAGATATTTTGCTTAATGAAGGTAAGAGAGTTCTGCAGTTACTTACGTAAATGTCAAAAAATGTTTATTGAGTGTGAAGTTCAAAAATATATAATAAATTTATATTAATGTATAAATAACAATATTAATTTTATATAAATTTAGTAAAATCGCTAATTTCAGCGCTCTAAAACTGTTCTTGTTTTCCAGTGACGCCACCTATGGCAAGAATTCGACTTCTGCCACACCCATACGACACACCCTTTTATAGGACGGACCCATTCCTTCATCGTAATTTTGACCTGAATCAGAGAACGATCGATCTCCAATCCAGTACCCCCAGAGGTATTGATTTGTTATGGGAGCACGGGGGACTTTTGCGACTCGACAGATTTAACATGCCTCAGTCACTTTACTACAAGTGGAATCTTCGGCCGGTGGGGTTTGAACCCACGAACTCTCGGACATGGGCCCAGTGCCCTACTGACCAGGCTATCCCGGCAGGCTATATCGATAACACCTAACATTAATGACTACATAAATACAAGGGGTGATCAAATGAAAAGGTACGAAACGACACGGTGGGTACAAATGTAGACTTTATTCAAAATATACACCATAGGCCTGAGCACAATGATCCCACTGATGAACAAGCTGCAAGATTTCTTGTTCCCAGAATTCCTGTGCCGTGACGAGACCCAGTCATTCACAGCGTCCTTGAGTACGTCATCCGAGTTGAAGCGCTTCCCTTTCAGGTGTTTCTTCAGTGGACCAAACACGTGGAAATCGCAGGGCGACATGTTTGGACTGTAGGGCGAATGGTCCAACGCCTCCCACTTGAACTTGGCCAGTTCCATGTATGTGACTCTGGTGGCGTGTGGACGCGCGTTATCATGTAGCAGAACCACACCCTCCGTGAGGAGCTCCGGTCTTTTGTTCTTGATGGATCTGCGCAGGCGTCGGAGTGTCTCACGGTACACATAGGAATTAATGGTTTTTCTGTGCTCGAGTTTCTGTTCCCCATACGGACTGCCGCATCATTTGGACGCTGCTTTTGCTAAGAGCCTCTGCTCTCTCCTGCGCATACGGGAACCCGCTCATGCTTCGGTCCCAGTCAGGGACTCCAATTGTATCCCGAGATGTCTCGCTACGTTCTCCCATGGCGGAATATGCAAATATTTAACTGTTACGTTTTTACGTCGTTTCGTACCTTTTCATTTGATCACTCCTTGTATGACTTGAAATTAACACATTGAAGGGTATATATTTGCCAGTAATACTTAATAATCCTAATGGTACCACATAGTTAAAATAATGCTTTGCATTTGCTGTATTAATGCTTATTTGTATTTAATACTTCTTAGTTAATAATAACATTACACAACTAACATTTTTTTAAATTTCCAATGAGCTGCACAATCGGTCTTGTCGATGAGCAGACCTAGTGCATTCTCCAGAGGTGGTATCCACTCTTTCAGGACCACCACAATGGGTGAGATACCGTTGGTCATGCTAATTTGGATGTCTAGTTCTGCCTGCTGTATTAATGCTTATTTGTATTTAATAATTTTTAGTTAATAATATTCTTGATTCATACTTCAAAATGTTGATTTAGCTTTGAGAGTCAATGCCATAGGTTGTGCAAACCCAAAATACAATATCTTTGAATAATAATAAAATTTTATTTTAAGGAGTGATGCTGTGGTCACTGTTTTAATAGTGTTTTCAAGTAGATACTTATCTCTTTATTACATATTCATAGCATTATCCATAAATGATGTCATGTGACAAAAGGAGAGTTACCAATAAGTATGACAATACACATTTTGACTGAAATCTTCTTCTTCCTCAGCACGACAGCCCCTTACAGGCCTTGGCTGCCTCACCTCCAACGCCTCCTATCCATGGCAACTTTTTTCTAGTTGTTAATCTTTATTACTTTGAGATCTTTAGTAGTGTCCTCCAGCCATCTAGTTGGAGGTCTTCCTCTGGCGCGAGATCCAGAAGGATTTTTAATGAAATCAGTGAATGACTGATTGATTGAAATCAGTATAATTAATAATTTTAGTTTTAATACTTCATCCTGCTTTTCATCAAAATACATCTAACTATTATTGTTGTTATACCCACAATTGTTGTTTTAAAATATATTTTATAATGCGTGTTTTGCTTCCAAACTGATAGCATATGTTTATGTAATGTAGCATGATATGGGAAGGTAGGGGGAATGGTGACAGTTTGGAACAAGAGGAAGTGGTCAAAATTATTGAAATAAAAAGTGGAATATGATTTATGGATAGCTCCTTACAGCAATTTCACAATCTAAAGGTTTTTTTTTTTAAATAGGACAAATTTCTTGCTTACTTTGAGGACATGCACCACTGGACTAATAAGCAAAAAATTTTCTTTTTTAACGATAGGTACTGAATTTTCGTTTTTCACAACGGAAGAAGATGGATGTATCGCTCATTTAACATTACCCAGTGGGCACCTGTGAACTTAAGTCACATATGCAAGCAACATTACCCACGCTACACTGCCACAAATACCCATTCTTAGGGTGGGCTACATTCACACATCAGAGGATAACACACAGAGAGAAACAACCATACCCTGAACAGGATTCAAACCCGAAGGAAATTGGTTTTACAGTCAGGCACGCTAAGCACTCGGCCAGCTGGCAGATGATATAAGTAAACTAGTGCCGTTTGAGATGGGGAAAAAATAAAACTAATATTTTTAAAAACCATGTTTTTGCAGTGGAGAACCATAATTAAAAAACAAAAATTTGATAAACGAAAAACGTGGGACGCATGAAATACATAACAGTAACAGTATGTGTGCTCATGAGAGTATGTGTAGGTATATCTGTAATTGTATCTGAATGTGGATGTGGTTGTGCATGTGTATTAGTAAGATAATGTGTATATGAAATGTTATCAGGGGTCTGTTTAGAAGAAATTTGAGTCCATTAACGGACCCTTCACAAAATATATTTTCATAAGAACGGACCCTTCAGAAAATATTATAACTTAAAAACGGACCCTTCACAAATTTGTTTACCATCATTATTGTTTTGTTAATCGAATAAACCCTTCCCAGGAAGGGAGGGGGGAAGAAAGACAGATGTAAACGAACTAAATTTTGTCTTCGGCAGACGCTTCTTCCTTTTTTCGTCCGAATTTAATATTTTGCGATCAGCAGTATAGGCTAAATACTATTTTAAAATTTAATTTTTTTAATTATAATTTTACCGTGTTGAGCGGAATCTTGCATGCCTTTTACAAATTAAAAACTCCTTGAAAAAGTTTTTTTGCAATAACAGACTCTATTTGCACATATTCACAAAAGCGGATCCTGGTTGAAAGAATGTGACTTAACGTTTATGTTATATTCACAAATTACGAGTAATTTTTTCACAATTTTACAAAAAAAAAAAACTAAATAATAAAATATGACAGTGAGTTGGGATTTTATTACAAATTCAGATATTCAGAACACCATGAAATAGGGGAGGGGGTATTTTTAGATTCCATTTTAAAAATTAGATTTTTCAGCGACCTAAATCCATGACTTTCCATGATTTTCTTTAAAAAAATAGTTAAAATCATGACAAATTTTGTTCAATATCGAAATTCATGACTTTCCATGATTTTTCACGACTTTCCAGGCACGCGGATACCCTGAAGTTAGCTTAAAATCGATTACAAAATTCCACCTGAACAGATATACACGAAGGCAAGTTGATATAAACGTACAGGGGTCTGTCTAGGTCTTTTCTGAAAGGTACCTATTTTGTGAAAATTTTGACATAATTTGTGAAAAATGAAAAATTATATTAAAAAATCAACACAAAATTATGGATTTATCGATTCTTAAGGTATACAGAAATAAAATTTTAAGAAAAAGTATTTTGTGAAACTACCATTTTTTCTAAAATTGAATTTGTGAAACTACCGTTTTTCCTAAAGTTAAATTTGTGAAGGTACGGCTAAACGGTAGTAAATTCGGCCTGGACAGACCCCTGACGTGGTAGTAAAAAAAACAAGAGCAGAAAGCTATTTCAGAGTAATTAAAAATGCCTTTACTTTGTCAAGAACATCGACCCATTCCTTCATCGTAATTTGGACCGGAATTAGAGAACGATCGATCTCCAATCCAGTACCCCCAGAGGTATTGATTTGTTATGGGAGCACGGAGGACTTTGCGTCTCGTCAGATTTAACGTGCATCAGTCATCATTTACTACACGTGGAGTCTTCGGTCTGCGGGGATCGAATCCATAAACTCTTGGCCCAGTGCCCTACCAACAAGGTTATCCCAGCCTTCAGCTGATCGTTTATAAGAAAATGGCGAGTTAAAGATGAGTTAAGTTTCTCCACAAAAGTTGGAATGTTAATTAACATGAAGTTAGCTAAATACAGGGCCGTATCACACATCGAATTTATTAAAATATAAATCTTTTCTTAACTTAAATTATTTTTATTGTAACCATGATATATTTTTGTTCTGTGTACTTGGCAACTTCAATGCATAATTAATTTGTTTTTCTTCTACGTGGATTCGTGCCTGTCTTTGTGTTAAGTAAGAAATATATAGTGAAAGAATTGAAATCTTCGTGACAAAATCTTTGTGTAAGAATATAGAATGTATCACTTATGGGAGCTGATGCTTGACGGGCTTGGCTTACTCGAAATAGAATGGAAAGAGCACTTGCTACCGTAAACAAATGCCACGTTTCAGCAATCAATCAGAATCGAGATACCCACACTACGTCACTTACAGGTATTTCATTAAACATCTCAATAAAAGTGGAAACTCTATAAATGCAGTAAATATTNAAAAAATGAGCTATAACTTTTTATATATGCTTTTTTATAATTTTAAGATTAATTTGTTTTTTGAAACTATAAAGTTAAAATGCATATATTTATCTAAATATTTGAAAAAAGGGACAAGTAACTGATACTCTTTATAATTATACATAATTTTAATTTCACTTTCTATTAATCGTATTATAAAAACATGGAAGACCATTAAATATTTATTCCAGTTTAATTTTATTACAGGTAAAAGTCAGATGAAATTTTAGTGTTTACTTATACAACACTATTTAATAAATAAAAATATTTTCACAGTAAAATTTATGAGCACTAAATGAAAAAACCCAATTTTCCCCGGGTTTTTTCAAATAAAACCCAATTTTCCCCGGGTTTTTTCAATAAAACCCAGGCGGGTTGGGTTTTTTCAAAAATCCCCGGGTTTTTTCAAACCCTGCCTTCGGATAAATTGACATTCCATATAACTTGACCTTTGTCATTTAAATTATTTCATAAAAGGTTACTATAAGTAACCTGGTATTTCTTTTATTATTGTACAATGTAAACCAAGTATTTGTAATCCTAGTAACTACTAATTCATTGTGCAAATTATATAAATGTTTGCACAGACATTTACCTTGTGTTAAACAAGGTAAATGTCTGTACCTTGTTTAACACTGTTAATTGTTTTCAGAATATTTTGAAAGATGTAGAAATAATTAAATCATTTACAATAACTATCTACAAGGATATTTATTTAAATTTTAAGAAAGGCGATATTATAAAGAAGTTTGAATACATAATTCTGGATGTAGCTACAGATTAGCATAGATACTCAACTCAGACATAATGACATCGAATAGGAGCTTTCAGTTCTCAGTCGGCTTCAATTATTAGGTTTACATCCCCTTGCACCTACCTATCATTTGATATGGAACATGGTTAATACCTTCTCGAAAGTAAATCTCCCACGATTCACAGTTAAGTCAGGAGAACTTATGGAGTTGATTATTCGCAATTGATCAGCTATCAAGTGTTTGAACAAGCGTTTCATTTATATGAACACATCAAAGATTATATTTCTGTTCTTTTTTTTACCCCAGCTGTGTTGAAATAGCTTAACAATATTTTTAGTTACGGATAAGGCAAAAAAATTACATGTTTTAAAAATAGCGAAAAGTTGGAAATGTTTCTCTTGCATTTTAACGCAGAATTTATTTTTTTTTTCTTCTCAAATTTAGAAAAAGTAGTGTCAGGTTTGAAGAGATAGAAATTAACATTTCAGGGCCAAAATGACTGTCCGGCCATGGGAGTGTCCGCTTTGCGGAGAATGCACATAATGGTTTATTCATAGGGGATTCCAGGGGAATTAAAAATATGTCCGTACTGAGAGGTGTCTGTTTTGCAGGAGTGTCCATAACAGGAGGTTTCACTGCATATATATATATTGCAAACACAGCGATATATATATATATATATATAAAATTTTCAATTGAATATGTAATTAATTTTTTATTCTTATATTATGGGTGATATTCTCGCATTTTGTTTGTTGGGGGCACAAATTATAAATTATTTATTCTTCACATTTTGTAAATAATCATCTCCATAAAAAATAATAAAAAAATCATGGAATCCGTAGTAGCAATTGCCAAACAAAAAAAAGATTGAACTCCTCAAATGCTTGTTTCGGTTCGAGATTAGATTGTTGTAATAAATAATATCGTATAAAAAACTATCGGATTTAAAAGCTATGGAGAAATCAATCGCAATAACTGCCGAAAATTTGATAGAATCATTGCCTTAAAAAGTAAATACTCAAATGCACGATTCTAATTTTCCATATTGTTTTAAATATATCCAGATATTTAAAAACCACGCGAAAACCAATATCAATAACTGCCGAAAACACAATCGAAACATTACATTGATTTACAATACTATTGGCATAATTTGAGTGAGCCAAAAAATTATATATTCAAATGCATGATTCAAATATTACATCGAAATTTTTGTAGAAAAGAAAAGCATTTTATTTTTTACTTTCCAAAAAAAAATAAAAAAAATCCTTTTGCAAAAACTCTGTAACGTGCTGCGACAATGTCGCTGTGATTCTGCCACAGGGAATTAATTATTAATTAACCGAATTTTTTTTCCATATGTTGCCATGTTTATATGAATAATATGTATTTAGTGTTCCTTTATACTTTTAAAAAATACTACTAGTATTTAATACTAGATTCATAATTTAGAAACTCTTTATTGAAGTAGAAGTAAATGCTTAAAAATTTGGGTATTTTTTATATTACTTTAGCTAACATTTTGGTTATTTTTTACAGAAGAAAACTATTTTTAACTGAGATTTTTTTAATTTTGAAAACAAAAAACTTGATATTTTTTAAAGAGGCACTAAACCTAAGTTCAGGACTTGGGTTAAATTTCACCATCGTGAAGCCCAAATAATTATTAATGATGATTTGTCATAATGATAAGGTTACAATTTGACATAATGACATGTACATATTTCATGAATCAGAGAAGGTGACACATAATTATTACAGTGCAACCTCAAAAATCCAGACTGCTGGGGGGTTTGGAAGGTCCGTATTTCCGGATTTTAGATACCTTACTTAAATTGATTGGATTATCGAAGTTTCGAATTCGCCAGACCGATTTTGCGATTAAACGTGCGTGTGTAGACCTCCGACGTCAATTTTAACTTAAATATACACTTTGAATAATAAATAAGAGACATTAAAAATCAAACTTTCGTCATTGTTCCCTGTAAACGATCATTTAGATAACATATTTTTAGCAATTAAAACTAAAAATATAGGCTTAAAACGTGAGCTGAATTTTAACTTATAACTGAAACCGATGCTTCTAGACTAGACTGTACCAGCTGATACTAATCCTTTTTTTGTTGGGGGATGAAAGAACTTGTCCCCGCCTCCTAAGCTTCAAGGTTAAAAAAGAACCAGTTTTCTTTCTTCACAAGGGAGGAAAAACAAGGTAGTAGAAGAATTCCTCCTCCTGAGGGAATTCCCCTTTATATTCTTTGTTATCTATACAGAGCTGATAAGAATGACTGGAATTTCCTTATCAGCTATGAGTTTTCCTTCACTCCCCACCCCTACCTTTTCATTGCTGGAGAAGAGACGCGGTTTTGCACTCTTGCATTAAAATTTTTATTTTAAGAGTTTTTTAAAATTTATTTTTAAAAATTTTTTTAAAGTTTTTTCTGACGAGCTGGCGTATGAGCCTGATTTTAGAGATTTCCGGATTTCAGAAGTCCGGATTTTCAAGGTCCTACTGTATTAGTAATTATTCGAAGTAAAAAAATTATAACCGAAAAACAATTTTTAATCTAAATGAATGATCTTGACCTCCTCTCTACTTGAGGGAATCTTTAATCTAAACATGAACTTATTCCAACAAAGAACAATATCTAAACTTGATTTTAAAAAAATTAAAAAAAAAACAAAACTTNAAATCCATTTCGGGCAAATTCGTTTTTCCCTGTTAAGTGGCAACCCTGAAAAAGTACAATGTATGTACAGTGTGCTAAAAAAAAAAGAAAAAAAAAGGGACCAACCTGAATAACTTTTGATATGATGATTGGATTTTCAGATTTTAGGACTCAATCTTAATGTCTCGAGAGGTGATCTCAAATATGCCAATTGATAAGTGCGGAGGATATTTTAAGTTACGAAATCAGACACAAAAACATACTTTAGCAGAATAAACACACCTTTTTTTGTTTCGATAGATACGGATTTGTGGCCCCCAAAATAGAGGGGGCAGTTGCAATCTGGAAAATATGGACCCAATATTTTGGTTAGGATCGAGCTCCAGAGTTTGAACATCTTAATACTAATTTTACCTCTTGCATGGTTCGTCACTATGTCTTGAGAATTTTGCAAGCAAATTTAAAATTTTCTACACACAATTATGAATTAGGTTTTTTCAAAGATAATTCCATGCAAAAAACAACTTTTAGCAAAGACTTATTAATTTATTTAGGAACAGTAAAAAAAATCAAGATTTTTTTTTTGCATCATTTTAAAGAATGTAATGTTATGTAGCAAAATACAAAATTTGAGCAAAATCGGTCGACAATATTCCACTTACTATTCTGACAATTTTCATTCATTTTCACTCCATTTCAAAAAAAGTAAGACATTTAAAATTTGATTTCTCAGGAATTATTCGACCGATTTGGCTAAACTTTTGTATTTTGCCATGTAATATTACGCTCTTTAAAATGATTAAAAAAATTGCATATCTTACAATTCGAATTTTTTTGTACCATTCTTAAATAGAATAATAAATATTTACTATAATCTTTTTTTTGCATACAGTGATCTTTGGATAAATGAATTTTATTACTGTGTGTAAAAATTTTAAATAACGAAACGTTATAACGAAATATGCAAAAATTAAATACATATATATATATGCTAATTAATAAGTGTAGATGATATTTTAAATTAAGAAATCAGACACAAAAAACATACCTTTTTTTCAATGGATTCAGTTTTTTGTCCACTTAATTTGTATAGTTTTTCCATGTGCAAATCCATTTCGGGCAAATCTGTGGTCAAAATTATTTACTAAAAAATTCCTTTGTTAATTTATATAATTTTTCCATTTCGGGCAAATGCGTGGCTAAAATTATTTACTAAAAAATTTCGTTATTAGTTTATACAATATTTCCATGTGCAAATCCATTTCGGGCCAATCCGTGGATAAAATTATTTACTAATAAATTTCTTTGTTAATTTATATAATTTTTCCATGTGCTAATCTATTTCGGGCAAATCTGTGTCCAATATTATGTGCAAAACAGGCAATGCGTGTTTTTTTTCCCTTTTCTATTTTTTTCTTAAATATTTATTTTCTAAAATTATTTATAGTCAACTTCTTTAAATTATATTACCTTGCGGACATCCATTTTCAGGCCCATCCTTGGTAACTAACAAATCAAACGCACTTCAGTAATGCAGTACGAACGCATTTTAAAACAAAACTCCTCTAGTTACGCTCAATTTGCGCTTTTGTTTTCATACTTTGCAATCTGGCAATCTTGTTACGAAAATATTTTAAATCATTCTTGAAAAATTTTCTGTACATGTAAGTTCATTTGAATTCGCTGCTCGCTTTATAGATTATGTTTCTTTCTGTTTTTTCTTTATATTTTATTTTCTGTTCTTACGTGTTATTTTTACTTATTGAGTACTATTTTATTTGTTATAATTTTTGTAAAATTTTTTTGAGTGCTCCTCATACTATTGTATTGATATATTTTGCTTTTGCTGTATTGATACAGTATTAGAAAGCACTCTTTTTTGCCGATATAATCGTGTGGGCTGATGAAAAGATTATATCTTTTATTTTCCGAATTTTTTTTATTATTATTTCCGCCCCCAGTTGTTTTTTTTATATAATTTTTCTTTTTTCCTCTTTCTTCATATGTTTGTAATTTTCCCTTGTTTTATCTTCATTTTGAACTTATCTTATGAGTTTTATTTACTTGCAGCTTATGCGCAATAAATGNATTAATTATTAGACAGATAACGTTTATCAAAAAAGCGGTTACGAAATGTTGTGCTCCTCATTATAGTTAGGGAAATATAAGTTAGTATCAATATAAGTTAGTTATCTTGCAAAGTAAATCCGTAAAATGTTTCATTTTAGAGAATAAGGAAAATCTTAGTAATTGTAATTGGTTTATTTAATAGGTCGCACGATTCCCACAAAGGGCAAAGGGGAAAATGTCTTACTTTTAATTAATGCATAATTGAGCAAAAAATAGATTAAAGGACAGGATGTGAATTTAAAAGTTTGAGAAAGCATTTCGTTTTGAATAATAAATGAAGAAATGGATTTACAGAAAAGGAATAATATAAAAAGATTAATTAAAGCTTTTTATGTTACATATATATATATAACAAAGTAGTATATGTAACAAAGTAGTTGTAAATGTAGTAAACTACAAAAATAATGTTTTTCCGGCCACTGTTCATGTTCTACATGGCTTTGTGTCTATTTTCGTATTAAGTAAGAAAAAAATTTCTTCGTGAAATAAAGTAGAAAAAAATAATTAAAAAAATCTTGAAAATAAAAGATATGATCTTTTTATCACCTCACATAATTATATTCACAAAAAGGACTGCTTTCTAATATTGTATCAATATAGCCAAAGCAAAACAGATCAATACAATAGCGTGAGGAGCACTAAAAAAAAGAATTACACAAAAATTACAACAAATGAAATAGAATACATTAAGTAAAAATATCGCGTAAAAACAGAAAAATAAAATGTGAAGAAAAAGCAGAATAAAGCATAAAACGAAATCTATAAAGCAAGTAGCGAATTCAAATGAACTTACAAAATTTTTCAAGAATATTTTAAAATATTTTTGTAACAAGATTGTCAGATTACAAAATATGAAAACAGAAGTGTAAATTTCTTTTTGTAATATTTACTATTATTATATATATATATATATATATATAGCATAATAAATAAAAACAAATAAACACGAAGAAAATTAAGAAAAACAATAAGTTTTATTTACTGAGCATAAGCTGCAAGTATATAGAACACATGAAATAAGTTCAAAATAGTTTTTAACTATTTTCATAAAAACGGACCCTTCACAAAATAACTTATCCTTTAATCGGACCCTTCACAAATTTGTTTATCTTCATTATTGTTTTGTTAACCAAATAAACCCTTCCCGGGAAGGAGTAAGAAAGACGGTTTGAAATGAACTTAGTTTTCCAAGTTTCCCCAAGTTTAAATTCCATATGGAGTTCTCTAAGAAGATATTTCTACTTTTACAAATATCGTGTGCACATTCTTATTGATATTAAATTATAATTTCTTTTTTTTTGTAAATAAATAATTGATCAATTTATATTTAATCATAAAATAAATTAATAGAATGTTATGAAGACAAAAATTAATTTCTGGCAAATTTTTAAATAAAATATTATAAATTTAAGAATTGTTTAAATTTACTCAATGCGTAACACATTAATAGTGATACATAACTAAGTTGTGTTATTTAAAATATGTCAATTGAAATTATTAAAAATGTGAGTGATTTTCTTTCCATTATTTGTCCGAAATTAATATTCTGCGTTGAGCAGTATAGGCTAAATAGCAAAAATTAAGTAGCTCTAATTTAGTAGCAGCAATTGTTCAGCAGAATCTTGTATCTATTTACAATTTAAAAACTTCTTGAAAAGGTTTTTAGCAATTTTTGCAAAATCAGGACATTTGCACAAATTCACAGAAGCAGGAACCTAGTTGAAAAAATGTTACTTAACACATATTTTATATTCACAAATTATGAGTAGTTTTTTCATAATTTTACAAAAACCGGACTTTTCACAAAATGCCTAGACAGATCCTTTCTCTCTCTATTTATATATATATATGTCTAATACCAAATGGCACATTTCTCGGAGGTGTGAAAAATTCAAAGAAATCTTCTCTCTTGTTAATAAAAACCACCCTAAGATTACATACCTTCCACTTCTTTTTCGTCCAATAGCATCTATTTCATCAATATAAATAATGCAAGGTGCTCTTTTACGTCCTTCTTTAAATAAATCTCTTACTCTTGCAGCTCCCAAACCTGAAATAAAACAACAAAAAACATATAATAGAACATTATTTTAAAAATGCTCTTTTGTTAATCTAGATACATTCACAAGACATCAAGTGATAGCATCTCCAAGCTTAGTTCTTCAAACCATTAAAATTGCGTCTTAATACATGAAAATCTGATAAAAAGTTACTTAGGGTGTTCCATTTTTTTACGCAATATGCATAAGAGTGGAATTAAAAAATAATTATTCCAAAATAATATTTAAAACTATGAGTTCAAAAAACGTTTTTATTAGAGCCGGGATGGCTCAGGGGATAGAGTGTTAGCCTTCCAATGAGGTGAACCAGGGTTCAATCCCAGCGATGGCTGTTCAATACAAACTCCGATTCCAGCCTGCACTGACCACAATGCTGACGTGACATGCTGAGGTGGATCATGAGTTAAGAGTCCCCTTGCCGCCAGGCTAACCGTGGGAGGTTCTCGTGGTCTTCCTCTCCATGTAACGCAAATGCGGGTTAGTTTCATCAAAAAGTCCTCCATGAAGGCAAATTCCTCCAATACTTGATCCAGGAGTTCCCTCGTCTTCTGGATTGGGTTCAAAATTTACAAGGCTACGGAATTGAACATTAATAGTCGTGAACCCAAAGATTGGGTCAACTGTTCAATGACGGTTATAAAATAAAATATATTTTTATTCAGTTGAAAGACTTTTATTTAATTCATAAATAAAATAAAACTACTTACCTCCAATCATTTCAATGAATTCAGAACCAGCCATAGCTAAAAATGGTACTTTAGCTTCAGTAGCGACTGCTTTCGCGAGCATAGTTTTTCCACATCCAGGAGGGCCCAATAAAAGAACTCCTTTTGGTATTTTTGCACCCAAACTCTTAAAAGAACATAAGAAATAAATTAGCAGTATAGAATATGAGCATAAAGCAGTGGTGATTGTGAGCCCAACTCAAAAATCCTGAAAATTTCTTGAGTAAAATCATTAATAACGCATTTCAAAAAATTAATGTCTTTAACCCTTTCGTGCCGATTGTCACATATACGTGCCAGCAAGAAACGCACTCACTTCCCAGCCATCACACCATTGTGCCAGAGCGTTTCCTCGTTCACCCCCGGCCGTCACTCATTTGTGCCAGTGCCGTGGAACGTTTCAAAAATAACATTTCTGCCAGAAGATGGCATTATATGTCCATATGATTTCAGGTACATGTAGATTTGACCTCCTACTCAAAATGGGAGTAGTACGACTTACATACACGTGGTTTTTAGGGGGGAAGGAATGGAGGAGAACGAAATGTTTTATGACAGCTCTTTAAATTTGCACATAGGGATTTGTTTACAGTAAGCAGGGGAGTTTTTTTCCCCGCTACAGCGTTAAGTATTTCGATTTGCGGTCCAGTTTTTATTGCAATGTTAGTGTTTTCAAATTTTTCATACAGAAAAAGAATTCTAAGTCATATATTTAGTTTCCAAATATATAATGTTAAAAGTTAATGGTAAGTACATAATGAAAATAAAATGTGTAAAATATATATTTAAACAAGAAATAACTTACGTAAATAAAGTATCTATAGAAATATATATAAAGCACATGCAGTTTAAATACTCTACAGAACATTATTAAACAACACGTTGATATTTCGGTAATTTCATGGATTCAGGCTTAACAACAAAAAACCTTCCGGTCCTGGACAGACACTCGCGAGAGAGTCTGCCGGCCTCAGCGATAAGCTCGCGTTTGCTCTTCCCGTCGCAAAAGGTTTGAAAATTTAAATCATTGATATTTTCAAAACATGAAACTCTAAATAAATTATATACAGCATAATTCAAATGAATAATTATGTATAAGTTTACTTTTATCTCTAACCACATTTATTATTCTACCATTAAAAATATTTACAAATGAAAGAGACGCAAAGCACATATAAATTCTAATATTTTTAAATAAAATATACAAGAATTTTTATTCATAAATGTGATTGATGATTTCTTGAAACTTCTGGACCTTGGATTTCCGGAAACTTCCGGAACAGCTAGTGAAAAGTCCAGAAATCCGAATTTTTTACGAAGCACAATCATCTCTGATAAAGGGTTCAAAAAAAGTTTAAATTGGATGAAAAATATTGTGTTTCTAAACAGCCACTCTTAATATCAGGGTTTGTTGAGATACACAGGGCATCTGCTACATTTCAGATTTTCAAATCCATGACTACTCATGACTAATTCCAAGAACTTTTCATGACTTAACGTTTAGTTACTATTTTCTCCGACAAAAACACAACAATTTAAAAAAAGCATTATAATAACATTAATTAAAATGATGCTTATAACCAAAACTGCTATATTCTGCATCTTTATATTTATAGATTTTAAATTAAAAAAAACAGAGTAAAGAAAGAGTTAAAGCAATAAAATAGCTGAAAAGAATATGAAAGAATAAATAATCTTTTTTCTGCAGAATTATATTCTAAAGATACTTTTCTTGTTCATCGGAAAGGAAAGAAATACTACTGATTTTTTCTGTTCTCATTTCGGAATAAAAAAAATAATAAATTCGCGAATGACTGGCTGTCTTCAGCTAGAATTTAAAATTGATAAAATTAAAATAAATAAATAATAATGCAAATTCTGAAATCACGGACAGTGAGTGGGGATTTTGTTACAAATTCAGATATTCGGATCACCATAAAATGGGGGGGGGGGTAAATTTCATTTTAAAAATTTGACTTTTCGGGACCTAAATCCCTGACTTTCCATGATCTTTTTTTAAAAAATTAGTTAAAATCATGACATTTCATGAAAAATTTTGTTCAATACCGAAATTCATGATTTTCCATGACTTACCAGGTGTACGGATACCCTGGATACATCAACTAACATAAAGTAAAACCAGGATTGCTAAACAAACCTGGAAAAAATAATTCCCTGCGTTTTCCCGGCATATATTATATTAAAAATATATAGAGAGGAAACACGCAATCACTGTGTTCTTGTGTGAGCTATATTGGGGCTTACAAGAAGAAGAAAAAGGAACAGCTGAACATTCTTATAATGCTATAGTAAATGAAACAGTTTAGTCTAGCTGAAATATCATGGTTAAATATCCCATAGATTACACTTTGACTGGTCGAAATTTTTTAAAAGAAGGGAATAAGAAACAAAATTCCCTGTATTTTTCCCAGTTTGTAAAGAAAAAATCAAAATTCCCTGCATTTTGCCTATTAATTTTGGTGATTTTTAAATTCCCTGTTATTTCCAGGTTTTGCGCCGAAATTTTAGGCTAACATTTAAATTTTTTTATCCTTTAAATATTTTTTTCTTTTTAAAAAAATGTTTTAAATTAAAAATGAAGCAAATAAGTAATCCTTGTTACAGATTAAAAGAAATATATGTTGTTAGATGATATTGAATTTTCTTCCCCATGTGACCTTTTCATTTTCGCTGTTTCTGGAAAGACATTCTTTCTAGAATTTTGAATAGGGTGCCTTATCTGTTACACCAACAACAATGAAAGCCCATTCATCTTTTAGAAAAGGACCATTCCTCCTGTACAGAAATTAGTTTTACTCCCAAGCTGTTTTCCAGAAAAAAAAAAGACACCTGGAATACGAAAGATGAAATGGCCGCTATCACTTACTTGCAGTCAGATGGACATCATGAGTAAAGAACAGGTGGTAGTCTGTTAAGTGTCAGTAGTAATCGGACAATTTATTGTGCAGCATATTATGACGTCAAGTACTTTTCTTAGAAATTTATCATGTGATGTTTCACCCCCTCCCATAAAACTCAAATTTTTTGTGAAGAACTAAAAACTTGTGGACGATCAGAACATGGAGGATGATAAAGTTCCTCCAAATCACACAGCAGTATTAGAAGCTTTAGACACTATTCGTGACTATTTACAACTTAATTTTGCTTCTGAAACTCCCCCTTATCACATTTATATGAACCAGAAAAAACTGTTCTTGAAATACGTCACCAAAAACAAATACAAACATGCATTAAAATTATTTTGTAAGAAAATAAATTATCTTAAGGTACGTTAAATTTTTTCTTCGTATAGTTATAGTAAATACCAAAACAGTATAAATATTAACATTTTATCTTTAGAAACATATTTATACATATTGTCACTGCAATTTACATTGCGTTTTAGAATTTTGAAGTTTTTCACTTGTGCGCTTTTTTCTCTTGGCCCCTTACACTGGGGCATAAGTGAGAGTTCACTCTATTTCTAAAAATATAAAAACTCCAAATATATATATAAAAAAAAACTGTCATATAAGGTTACAGCTATATATATTGTTATGAACTAAAATTTACTTCTCATTTATTATTTCTTAATGTGTCACACATTATGTTTCCCAAAATGTAAATATTTTTTTCCTACCAAATTTGATTATTTTTCAAACCTGAGTAATTATTCATTTTATTAAGATTAACATACAGGATATCTGCTACATTTCAGATTTTCAAATTCATGACTAATTACCAGAATTTTTTATGATTTAATGAAGTTACTATTTTCTCCGAAAAAAAAAAACAGAACAATAAATTTTAAAAAGCATTATAATAATTAATTGAAAGGATAAGTATAACCAAAAATGTTATAATCAGCATCTTCATATTTATAGATTTTAAATTAAGTAATGAAAGAGTGGAAGCAATAAAATAGCTCAAAAAATACAAAAGCAAATATTTTTTTCTTTTCTTTTTTCCTAAAGAATTATATTCTAAAGATACTTTTCTTGTTTATCAGAAAGGAAATAAATACTTCTGTTCTCATTTCGGAATGAAAAAAATCTACCAATGACTGCCTTGCTTCAGCTAGAATTTTAAATTGATAAAATAAAAAAATAAATAATAGAAAAAAATTCTGAAATTACAGAGGTTTAAAAGATAATTCGCTCCAGAAATGACGTTTTTTTCTTCTTCATTTTTTTGAAAAAACACCATAATTTTTAAAGAACACAATAAAAACATTTTATATTTTAATCAAATATGACTGCAAGTGGGGATTTTGTTACAAATTCAGATATTCGGAACACCATGAAATTGGGGGAAGGGGGCAAATTCCATTTTAAAAATTAGATTTTTCGGCGACCTAAATCCATGATTTTCATTGATTTAAAAAATTTGAAAAAAGTTAAAATCATGACTTTCCAGGTGCGCAGATACCCTGAACATATTAACAAAATGCCCTGACATGAAATTATAATAATTATATCATTTATAAACAAAATTTTTTTTGACTTTTAAGATAGAAAAAAAAAAACAGATGAATGAGTCACAAAATTGCAGAGCGAACAGGAGGTAGAGGAATCCTGGATACAATAAAAATTGACTAATAATTTTCTTGAAGGTAGTTTTCTTTTCTCTTAAAAAAAAGTTATTTTTATGTAACTTAATTTAAAACTCATCATCATCATAGTTGGCCAGACAGCCCAATGTGGGCCAATGCCTTCCTAATTTAAAACGTACTCAATATAAATCTGTTAGATTCAAAGAAAAAGTTTTAAATGAAAGCTGATTTGTCCTTTGTTTGCCACTAGATTTGGAAGTTACTTTTGTCTTTTGGAGTTACAAAATTACTTGGATATGGATATGGAAATGTAAGAGTGAGGACAGCAAAACAATTAAATGAAATACCTTGTACTTCTCAGGGTGTTTTAAGTAATCTACAAATTCCATTATTTCAATCTTTGCTTCTTTTAAACCCGCCACATCTTTGAAGTGGACTCCTTTGCCTGATCCAGTCAATGAATCAACAATTGTAAATTTTGCTCTTCCAAGCTGAGACTGAAAATAAGAAGGCAAAATTGTAACACAAAATGAAAATTTTATGCACAAAAAATTGATATCACATACCTGCCAACCTCCAGTTCAAAAACTCCAGAAGATTTTATACAGTATAAATTTGAACGCAAAATTTGAGAATTGATAATCAAAAACTCCCTTTTTTAATCTCAGAGTAAGTAGATATAATTTACAATACTAAAATCAGTTTTGAATAGTAAACTTTATAAAGAATTGTACATCTAATACCACACCATAAGTACATGAATCTATGAAGAGGTGAATGATGGAGCTAGTAAGAATTTATATTTATTATATGTACAACCTTAAAAACTGCTTCACATATTATATACACACATACTTCCAATAACTTCCTCTGTATGCAAAAATTTATTTTCATTTTGTTAAACATATATAGAGATCACAATAAAATAGAATTTTGAATATGTTTATAAAGTAATTATTAAGTTAATATAGTTATTTTCAGAAAAAAATATGTAATCCATAAAAGAAAAATTATTTATAAATAGGTTAACACAGGACTCCAACCATATTTTTAAAATTAAAGAAAAAATTCACACTTCCAAGAACGCTTCAAAACATTTTAATTAAGCATGGATAACTAAGACATGTTGCATCCACCAGGAAGTTAACTAAAACTTACTTTTTAATATATATATTATTGATATCATGGACACTATAATAAAATTAGAGAACTAATTGCTTTAATAATTTCAGAAAAGGTTAATTAAGTCAAAAGTATTGCAATAAAATTATGTAGCAATGTATGAAATTTAAAAAAAATTTCAATATTAAACTTTTAAAAAAAAGAGTAAACATGAAAAACAGATGTAAGACATAACTTGGTTAAGCAAGATAATCAAAAAAAGAAAAGAAAGAAACCTTGTTATAATAATTGGCACAAATGACAAAATAAGCTTTTACGTCGTGGATTTAATCTAAAATTTGACTATTGATGAAGTGGTACGTTTAGCCTTTTTCAATATCATTTTTTCCGCCGTGACAAATCATAAAGTTGCATGAGCAAACGCTACAAAATGCGTATTTATCACCATCTCGCGATCGTAAAATGTCAGGGAAATCACTAAAGTATGATTCCTTAAATGATTGTAAATAACGTTTGCTCATTTTAGTAAAAAACAAAACACTAATCAAGCAACGGAAAAAAGGAGGAAAATCCGTAAAACTTCTGGAAGAGTTGGCAGGTATTATATCAGGATAACAATTTATGCACCATACATGTTTCATATTTATCATCATTTTTTGAACATTTATAATTAAATCATCTACTAATGAAGAATATCAAAACTTTATAGTAAGTAATTAAGAAAAAACTTACTTCTTACAAGAATTGCGGTACATGGATTTTTAAAAATACGTGAACATGAAACAAGATATTGGAGTTTGAAACTATGAAAATACAAATTGGGATATTGAATTTTTCATTAAAATATTTTCATAAAAAACTTACTTCTTACAAGAATTGCAGTATATGGATTTTTAAAAATACGTGAACATGAAACAAGATATTGGAGTATGAAAATACAAACTACGTGAATAATACGTGAACATGAAACGAGATATTGGAGATTGAAACTACGAAAATACAAATTGGGATATTGAATTTTTCATTCGCGTAAATACAAATCATCATGCAAAATTCTTAGATCGCGTAGATAAAAAATCAGATTTTATTCTTCATAAAATATTTTGCTGAACATGTTTACGCCTAGCTACGAGTATTACTGAAGTAGTATCCCACACGGACGTAAGATTGGCAGTCAATATATTAAGCAAAATAATTATATATTTAAAAAATTTAATTTCTTAAGAAAAATAATAGTCTAGTAACAAATTTAAACTTTTAATGCCTTAAATTACCATTTGAATGCCACGCCTGGAGCCAATTTCCCTTTCGTAGGTTGAAGTGATTAAACACGGGATAAAAATTACAAATACAGTTTGTGAAAGGCTAAAATAGTACTTTATTTAATCAAGCACAAAAAAACTTTATTTTAACTTTATTTTATATTATTATTACTTATTTAAAAAATATTACTTTTACTTAATTTAATCAAAACAGGAAAAAGATTAAATTCACTCGGTTCCCTTACCAATTTTTCTGAAGAAAAAAAAATGCTAAAAATCAACATATTTTTTTATTTCATTAATAAATACAAGGAACTAAAACAAAACATAATACACAAGTTCTAAGTTGAAATGTTAATTTTTTTACCTGTAAGAAATATTTAATTTACCATCAGTTCACCATCCCAAATTATCTCGGTTCAAATGAAAAAAAGTTAAATATGAGTCTTTGTATAGGTTCACGTCTTCATAATCTGAAAAATCATCTGCATTGCTTTCACTTTCGCTCGTGAATGTCATTTTTTTACTCTTTTTTCTATGAAAATTCATCCACCATCATATATATACAATTGTACAAACCACGTCTGCAATCCCACAAACAGTTAAACTCACAAACAGAAATTGGCAAACTTCCAATCGCAGCAGATTATTATTATTTTTTGTTTTGCTTCTGGCCGAATAAAAACGTGATAAATCAAAACTTATTGACAAATTCTGCTATGCCTGCGTTTACTCGGAATAATAAATATTTGCAATATATACTGCAATATATCTGCAATATATTTATATATTTGCAATATACTTATATATTTGCAATATACTTATATATTTGCAACATATAAATATTTGCAATACCTGAGCCGCAATGGCTCAGGGCATAGAGCGTTCTCCTTCCAATGAGGCGAACCGGGTTCGAATCCCAGTCGATACGAATTCTGCATCAGGCTTGCACTGACCACAGTGCTGACATGAAATATCCTCAGTGGCAGACGGATTGTGGGTTTGAGTCCCCTTGCCGTCAGGCTAACCGTTGGAGGTTCTCGTGGTCTTCCTCTCCGTGTAATGCAAATGGGGGTTAGCTCCATCAAAAACTCCTCCATGAAGGCAAATTTCTCCCAATACTCGATATAGGAGTTTCCTTGTCTTCTGGATTGGGTTCAAAATGACAAGGCTACAGAGTTCACCACTAGTAGTCCTGAACGAATAAAATTGGGTCGGCCGTTCAACGACGGTTATAAAATAAAATATATACATACCCGAGTTAACTCGGGATAACAAGGGAAGCGGTTAAAGATGTTAATTAATTTAAGAAACATTACTTTTACTTAATTTAAAAATATTACTTAATTTAATCAAAACCCGAAAAAAGACTAAATTCCATTTATTTCAATGATTTGTTTCCAACTAATGTTAAGACTTACAAAAAAATCCATGGTCTGAGGAGTTTTTATCTGAACATTCTTGAAGAGTAGCATAATCATGAGTGAAACAGCAATCAGTGAGAGCAGAAGTATCCAAGCACTCTCCTTACTTCTTTCATAAACAACTGGAACAGAATGTCCGCCATGAAGATTCAGTTGCTTCTCCACATCCCTCAGCTTTTCTTCAAATTTTTCAATGTCTGCAATTTTCATGTGGTAAGTTTTGTGTTCTGCCTAAAACATAGAATAATTAGACCATTTCATTGGATAACAGGGTGCACCTTTTAAGCACTATGTACATTAACAAAATGCAAAATAATTTTCAATGACTTTACATGATCATAATAAAATAACTAGTTTCTGACAGAGAACTCTTTTCTTGATTGTATTAGCCAACATAAAAGATAGAGAGATTATTCGTTTTGATATCAGAGGGTGGAAAATGAAGCCTGAAATTGAGAATATCTTGTAAAATGAAGCAGGGTTGCACATGAGAGTGCTAGAATCTAACTGTACTCAGCTCAGTGGACGCACATGCGGTCTCACAAGAATTTCATCAAACATGTAAAATGATTAGCGTTTTCATATGCTATGGACCGACGTAGGCTGAAATGGATTAGGGTTCGATGAATTGCGAACCCGTTGAATAGAACAATGTGAAAAGCACGTTTTTGCCTAATACGTGGCAAAAATCGGCACGGTAAAGAAAAATCTCATTTTCGAAAACCGAAAATTAAGTACTTTTTAAAAATACCTAACAAAAAAGCACATTTAAGGGCTTTTAAAAAGCGAAATTTGAAAATAAGCACTATTTAAAAGCGCTACACACCAAGGATAAAATACAGTAAAAGCTGATGGGGACATTTCTCCCCTCCCCAAATTTAAAAACATCTTTCGATTCAAGATAAATATTTTCAATAAATTTAAAAAATAATTAGTCGTATTTATACACATAATAGAACGCAAATATTTCCTTTTTAATGACACTGAGTTGCTACTCAAATCTAGAAGAAAAATTTCCCTGTGTTTTACCGGTACATATTATACACACTATAATAAGTGGAAACACAGCAATTACTGTGTTCCACAGTGTGAGCTATATATATTTATTAGTTGCTGGAAAAACTTACTTCCTCGTAAGTTTTTCCAGCAACAAGGAACGTAAGGAACAGATCAGAAGTACAGAACAGTTGAACATACTTAAATAATGCTAGAGTAAATGAAATGCTATAGTCATCCTTAAGTATTTCATACATTACAAATGAGACAACGAAAAAAAAAATAGTAAAAAAAAAATTGAAAAAAATATGACAATCAAAGCTGACGTCCAGCTTTGAATTGTCATAAAATGCAAAACTTTTTTTATCAAGAAAGAAAGACAAAAGTCAGAGAAAGCGAATTTTTGACTTTTGTCTTGCTTTCTTGATAGAAAAAGTTTTGCATTTTATGACAATTCAAAGCTGGTCAGCTTTGTCATATTTTTTTTCAATGTTTTTATAAATTTTTCTTCATTGTCTCATTTGTTTAATTCAATTCCTCTTGGTTTCTCTGCTGCTAAGCTCATTTTTTCCATTTAGATATTTTATTATTTGTAATTTTATTAATTTTTTGGACTAATATTTTGAATTCTTTTCTATATTGTCATTTTCAAATCTGGTTTTAGCAGCAATTTTTGCGCTTTTTCTGTTTTGAAATAGTCTTAATTTTATTTAATATTTTTTAATTTTATTAATATTTTGAATTCTTTTCTATATTTCATACATTACGTTTTGAGTGGTCACCCTTTTTTAAAAGACGAAAATAAGAAACCAATCATTTTCCGAGTTCATGAAGAACAAAAAAAGAAAGAAGAAAAATTCCTCGCATTTTTCCCATTATTTCAGGTGATTTTTAAATTCCCTGTAATTTCCAGGTTTTTTCCCATGGAGTAAAATTTTGTAAAATATTTGTAAGGGAAAACCAGCAATGTGGTAAAACAATTAGTTGGAGTGGCATAATTTTCCATGTGCTGGAAGGGCATGACAGTAGATTGATTTGGGAAGTAAAAGTATTAGCAATCGCAAATCAATTTATTATTAACGGTGATGTAAATTTAAAAAAAATTAGTTATGAAGCTCTAATGAAGTTTTCTTAGGAACTTAAACATAATTAAAAAATTTAACTACAGTAGAGCGCTGATTATCCAAACTGCTCGGGACCGAACATGGTTTCAGATAATGAAAAGTTGTTTAAAATCTAGCTTAAATTATTATTATTTATGCACTAACTTCCTTTCTCACTTTCTCCAGGTACTGGCAGTACTATCTAAAATAGCTCTGGCCTGTTTAAAAGTTTTTTTTTTCAATTCTTAAATATTTTTTTTTTATTTTTTTAAATTTTTTTTTTCATTTTGAAATTTTTTTTTTTTAATTATATTTCAGCTTTTTATAATTTTTTTTTTGTCAATTACTGATTTTACCACATTTTTCCAAAAGAGTTAGCAGAGCATTGTTTAAATCAAAACAGGGATCTGTCTAGGTTTATTCGAGAGGTACCTATTTTGTGAAAATTTAGACATAATTTGTGAACATTAAAAATTACATTAAAAAATCAACACCAAAATATGGTAAAATAAGAAATTATTTTCAAAAATTGTCACAACAAATAAAATAATTTATGACTGGTAAATTTCCATATATATTTTTCCCCATATATTAAAAAATAATTTTGCTATATTAAATATATAATTTTGCTTAAAATTTAAAAATCCACTGTCCATAGTTAAATTTTTAACTTGCATTTAACAGTACTAGAACTAAAAGTTATTTTCATTTTGAGAACATTTTTGAATAAAAATTAATAAAAAAAACTTTAATAAAAAAATAAAGAAAAAATTAATAATAAAAAAATAAAGGTATGTTTGAATAAATTTACAATAATGCTAAAGATAATGTTCAAATGTTTAGAATAATGTTTGAATTTTGACTTCCTGTATAGTTTATAGAGACAGAACCTCGTTGTTTAATTTAAAAAAATTCTGGGATTTATAGTTTTCTATGGGGATACAAAAACAAACGTTTAGGAGGCGGAGAATCTTGGAACTTGCTTTTTTTAAAGTACAGTAAAGCGCCGATTACCCGAACGTCCAATTATTCGAACTACGTCCGAATTCGTTTTTTTCCTTCTTTTTTTAACGTTACAATACTTAACTTAGCAACAATTTTTCTAAATTTAAAAGAATAAATAATATCCACTATATCTGAAGATCATATTTAATTTACAACCTTTTTTAGGAGTTTTCTTACTGTAGCCATACATACATGTATTGTTATACAGTTAAACCTACATACCCCTTTAGCCCTCTTCAACGGAAAATTATCTTCTAATCTAATCTAACTCCACAGACAAAGAGGAAGAAGTAGGTGTTCAAGTACAAGATAGTGGACCTTCTCATATAGAAGCATGCAATTCATTAGATACTGCAATGAATTGGCTAAAATGTCAAAATGATGTTGATCCAATTTAGTTGATTTATTTAAAAAGAATAAGGGATATGGCTGCTCAAAAAAGAGCATCTTCTTTGAAACAAAAATCTTTGCTTGATATCCTTTGCAATGGAAAAATAAAGAAAAATGTGGTAAAATCAGTAATACACAAAAAATTATAAAAAGCTGAAATATGATAAAAAAAATTCAAAATAAAAAAAACATTTAAAAAAAATAAATAAATAAAAATATTTAAAAATGGAAGGAAAAAAAACTTTTAAACACGCCAGTTATTTCAGATAGTACTGCCAGTCCTAAGCTTGGAAAAAGTGTGAAGGGAAGTTAGTGCATAAATAATAAAAATTTAAACTAGATTTTAAACAACTTTCCAATTATCCGAACTACGTTCGATCCCGAGCAGTTCGGATAATCGGCGCTCTACTGCATTTTGTGGTAAATTCGCCCTGGACAGACCCCTGATATTTATAAATTGATATGAGTAAATAAATGATATACCTTCCTGCCCTTAATAATAGCTCCATCATGAACATAGATTGTAACTAAATCCATTTCTGGATTCACCACCACTTCTTCTACCTATTCAAGAAATAATAAAATGTGAGCACAATCACATTACTTTAACCAACATAACACAAATACAATAATACAATTAATGTAATTTTTTTTCTTCTTCTAATGGAAGGTACTGAACTTTCACGTCCTTCACCCGGGAAGATGGCGGAAGTTTTGCTCATTCAACGCTACTCGGTGGGCACCTGTGAACCTAAGTCATGGAGGTGAGCAACATTATCCACTCCACACTGCTACAGATACCCGTTCATAGGGTGGACAACACATACAGAGAAGCATCCATGCCCAGAGTAGTGTTATTTGAACAAGCAGCCATTGGTTTCGCAGTCAGACACGCGTCCTGCAGTGGACTGATTGTCAAGACACGGTTCCCAGCAGATCACCGAAGTCAAGCATCACTGGCTGTGGTCAATGTGCGGGTGGGTGACCACTTGGATCAGTCTGCGTAGGGACCGAGGATGTGCGGTATGGGTCCTCATTAAACTGTTCTACCGTTAAGTGCTCGACTTCGCCTGCAGGTCGTTGGGCTACTGAAGCGGGGGTGCCATCCCCTCTGCAGAGGATCGAAATTGTGATGACGTGTCTTCGGATCATCTTCAGGGATGTTTCCCAGACCGTCGGCAATAGCCCATTGTGCGATGTAAATGAACTACAACAACAGTCAGGAACGCTAACTGCTCGGCCATCTGACCAGCCAAATAATGCAACGTAATACATTATACAAATAATGTAATAACTGTGCTAAGACAGTACAGTCAATAACTTTTAGTTCAGGCACAGTGCAATCAGTAAAGGCGTCGATCACTCTACTGGTAGGGATCTGGGGGTGGTGAGTTCAGTTAAATCGATTGTGGCTGAAAGCTTTTTGTGTGGAAGCTCAGAGAGAGGGGTACCAGTTTAATGCTAACCACATTATCTGACCAAGGTCATATGCAAAACCACACATCGACTTAACAAAATAGGTTCCAAAAGTGAACTGTTTTGTGAAAGGATAGACAACAGATGTTATTTTGTGCATTGAATTATTTTTCTATACTGTTTCACATAAGTGTTATGACAAGTAATAACCATACTTATTCTTTAACAGAAGTTCTCATTAGTCAGTGTTTTTACTACAGCGCGAGAATCTCGCATATTTTTTTCTTTTCTCGCATTAAAAAATTATTACCGCGAGAAATTCGCGCATTCTATAAATAAATTTCAAAATTTGCGAATTTCTCGTATTTTGGAAAAAGCTTCGAATTACGACATTTAGAATAAAATCCGTTTCACTTTTCTTCCTGGATCTTTCATTATTTTCAACATCTGCCCCATTATCTAGCCTCCTTATTTACCAGTATTGTTCAGAAACTTTTCGAACAGAACACAACCACGGAACCCCTTTCAGAATACATTTCTCTGCAACCACGTATTTACCGCAGGTAAGGTTTCTTCATGTAAGACGTTAAAATTTTTTATGCACTTATGTAAGATGGACAAATACCTTGTAAAGGCAAAATCTTCTATGATGATGCACCAAAAATATTCAATGCTTTAAAAAATAGAAGACGTTAAAAATGTATTATAATTAAAGAAATGTTTTTTTTTTCAAGAGTTTTTGTGTTTTTTTAGTTTTTAGAAATCTCGCTTAACTTTTTGAAATCTCCCCCTGTTTTTGAGAAAGGGTGAGAAATCCTCACCCATTTTTTTTCTATGATGAAAACACTGTAGCAGAATATTGAACTTACAATCTGCTTTATAATCAATAAAATAATGAAAAGGAGTCATGCAAGTCGTCAACTCAATGAGTTATAGCAGAGTATTGACCTTACAATCTACTTTATAATCAATAAAATAATGAAAAGGAGTCATGCAAGTTGTCAATTCAATGAGTTATAGCAGAGTATTGAACTTACAATCTACTTTATAATCAATAAAATAATGAAAAGGAGTCATGCAAGTTGTCAATTCAATGAGTTATAGCAGAGTATTGAACTTACAATCTGCTTTATAACCAATAAAATAATGAAAAGGAGTCATACAAGTCGTCAATTCAATGAGCTACAGCAGAATATTGAACTTCCGATCCGTGTTATATTCAATAAAATAATGAAAAGGAGTCATGCAAGTCGTCAATTCAATGAGTTATATCAGAGTATCGAACTGCTCTATAATCAATAAATCATAATACAGAGATAAAATTAGAAAGGAACATACTTCACCCCTTGCTAATATGTGGTGAACAAACTCATGCCAAGAAACATATCTCAATACTTCTGGCTGGTTACTGCTTGGAAATATTAAAGACATGACAGTAATAAATATGTAGGCAGTCATCATCCAAAGCACACCTTTTGCAAGCATCGACGTTTTAGATTCTTCTTCTGAAAATGGAGAGAAAAAAAATGTCTGAATTGTGAAGTTAAAAATTTATTGAAAAGTTATTGGATGAATAAATATATCAAGTTAAAAAATGTAGATAGAAAATTGAAATACAACTATAACTTGCTTTTAACAATTATATTTGGTGGATGAAGCTTTTAAGTAGTGATTGTTTCTTACTATTTTGCCATAATTGGCGGTAAATATCTATGTATATTCAACTGCGTTTAAGAGGTTTTAATTAAAATAAAATAGGATTTCAACGTTTAAGGTTTCTGACTTTCTGCTCATTAAAATGATATGCCCCTTACCCTATATAAATTACAGACAAATCATTATTTGCATTTTTTTTAAATAAACTAATTCACATACTATTAATTATATTAAAGTTACATAAAATTTGTAAAACTAGTAAAATTGCTCAGGGTGTATAGCAAAATCAAAAATAAACAAAATGCAAAACAATTTTCAAAGATTTTATATATGATTATGATAAAATAACTAGTTTCTGACAAAGAACTCTTTCCTTTATTATATTAGCCATTATAAAAAAATCGAGAGATTTTTCGGTTCGATTTCAGGGGTTGAAAATGAAGCCTGAAATTGAGAATATCTTGTAAAATGTAGCAGAGTTGCACATGACAGTGCAAGAATCTCACCGAACCCAGCTCAGTACATGCATACGCGGACTCGCATGTATTTTATCAAACCTGTAAAATGATTGGCGCTTTCATACGCTATGGTTCGACTGTACGCCGAAATGCATTGATTAAATTAATTGTAAGAGCGTTCGATAGAACAATGCGAAAACCACGCTTTTGCGTAATACGTGCCGAAAAACGACATGGTAAGAAAATTAATTCCTTTTTTCGAAAAGGGTAAATTAAGCACTTTTTAAAAACACTCAATAAAAAAACACCTTGAAGGGCTTTTAAAAAACGGAAATAAGCTCCTTTAAGCACTTTTTAAAAACGCTACCCAACATGTTAAGACAGACATGATAAGCATCACCTAAAATTACTCAAAGGAAAAAAAATAATAGCTGCACAAAAAATTACAATTATGCAAAAAAAGTAGTAAATATATTAAATTATTTTTTAAAATTACACTTTGTCTAAAAAAAATTTTTTTTTTCAATTTTGGACATCAAATTTTGAAAATGACACTTATATCAAGTTTAAAATAACACAAAACAATTATACTCGAGAGAAAATTGCAAAAGAAGAAAAATGAAAACCAAATCTCTCAGTATGTGAAATATTAGTAGGAGAACATGTTAAAAGATTCTTTTGCTATTCTTAAAAAAAAGAAAGAAAAAAACATCTCAAAAGAATGTGCCTTTAGTTGACCCCCTATTACTTTCTTCTTGACAAATTACAACTAAAATCAACATTCACTGTAATCAATGTCATCAAAAGGTAATGCACTTCATTTCCTTCTGACAAAAAGTTGTTAGGATTTGGTAGCCTGTCAGCTAGAAAATTCACTCCACTCTATCCCAGCAAAAATTTTACCTTGGCCCCAGTTGGCCTCAAAATTGGCTCGATATGGGTCCCATATGAACGTGCTCCGAGAAACCCACATTGGGATGTCTAGATTTTCTAATATTAGTCCTATGCAGATTCAATATTGGCCTATATAGGACTTGTATTGGCTGAATAATGATTATAAAATATTGGGTGAATCGGACAATTTCATACAGGGCTGATATTGGCTTTAAAGTGGCAGTAAAATATTGGGTGAATCGGACAATTCCATATAAGGTTGATATTGGTTTTAAAGTGGCAGTAAAATATTGGGTGAATCGGACAATTCCATATAGGGCTGATATTGGTTTCAAAGTGGCAGTAAAATATCGGGTGAATCGGACAATTCCATACAGGGCCCATATCGGAAAAATATTGGCCCTTTGAACCCTTATTGAGCCAAGATTCGTGAATATTGGTCCAATGACGGCCCAAGCTATTTTGCTGCTAGGGTAGATATGTATTTAAAATCAAAATACACTATCCGGCCAATAGTATCAGGTTGTTATGGTTATGGAAGCATAATGGTGTTGGGGTGTTTCTCGTGGTTATGCTGGTTAGTTCCTGTGGTTGGAAACATGAACTTGGAGATGCATGTGGATAGTGCTGCACTCCCAACTCTATGGCAATATTTCGGCCCATTTTTCTTCCAGCAGGATAACTGCTCCATTCACACATCGTGGCCTTGCAGAGACGTGGTTTGACGAAATAGGTTTTCAAAAACTGGACTGGCCTTCTCAGCGATTCGATAGAACACCTTTTGGGATGAATTAGAGAGCAAATTACGTAGCCATCCTCACTGCAAGCCGTGATGGAAGTCAATTCCTATTTAAAAACTGGTTGAAAGTCTTTTCAGATGTGTGTCATTGATGCAAAAGAGGAACCAACATCCTGTTAATATGTACCTCAGTACACTCTGAAGTCCATACCATTGGGTGTCTGGATACTTTTGGTCTGATAGTGCAGTTGTTCAAAACAAAAGATGGGCTTATGAATATAAATTCCCCTCTGCTATTTTAACATTAAATATGTGTATCTGCTTATAGCAACAAGTTCATCATCAGCTATATTATGAACTGTTGTATTAGGGTATTTTCAATGCACTTACCTTCTTCATCTCCTTTCTTCTTCGGATCCTCAGAATTAGAACAAGCAGCAGATGTTCTGAATGTTCTTCCAAAAACACCTATAATGAATGTAAGCCTGAATCATGCAAGATTATTTAAAATATGAAATTATAATGGAAGATTTATTATTTGTGAAAAATGGTTAGTAGATTTTGTAGAAACTCCTCACTTTAACGCCACCCAACAACTACCCTTCTAAGCAGATCGACTGTTTTTTGCACTCTACACATCAACAACAGCGCCACCGCTCCCATATCCTATTAGCGCATGTCCGCCCTTCTGTGAGCTTCAAGGTAAAGTTGCCACTAATTAATTTACAACCCTCGTAGTTTAGTATAACTGAAATATCCCATAGATTGTGCTTTGAGTGGTCACCATTTTTTACAAGATGTAAATAAGGAACAAAATTCCCTTTATTTTCCCAGTTTGTAAAGAAGAACTAAAAATTCCCTGTATTTTCCAGGTTCTCCCTGTGGAGTGGCAACCCTGTTGGTTATTAAATTCTGTTTTATGAAACAAAATATAATTTGTGGAAAACCCCTGATTGTTTTGAGCCTTCTCTTAAAAAGTACAAAAACTACTCAAAAAATTGCCTGAAACTTTTTAAGATATTCAAATAAAACTTTTTCCATTAGTTGTCCACGAGTTTAGCTGCAATTCCGGTGGGCGTTCCAGAAGGTGATCAGTAAATGCATTTAGTACTCATAAAACTTTAATTTTGATTAGGATACCATTTTAGAGGAATAATTTACCCTAAATTTTAAACTGTTTCTACTGTGTTTTTAGAAACATATTTGAAGAAGAGCCATTGATATTTAAGCTTAATTACAGGTTATAGAGATATCATAATCTAAATTTTAAGTGATTTTAGTAGATTTAGAATGAGATTGCATTTTATTTCTTCATTGTCTTTTTTTGATTTGGATTAATGGAATGTTATGCCTTGGAATTTTAAAATTGCATTACATTGAAAAGGTTAATCTTGTGTAGAAAAATTTGGAACTTGAAATAGTGTATAATTTGGAGATGTTTATGCCCATGTTAGCATTTGGAAATGATTGGAGTTATGTTTGTTGAAAATTTAGAGTTGTAATAAAATTAGTTTTAAATGTTAAGTGTTTCCTGTAATTCCTTGGTTATTTGTCTATTTTTGAACCTGGGTAACTGTTACCAAAGTTTAATTTAGCAATCACAGCCTAACCAAAGTTTGAAGGGTAACAGTACAATATAAAATTTCCAGGAAAAAAGAAACCAATAAAATTATCACATCAGTAACAAACTTTGGTATAAAAATTTTGTTCAATTAGAAAAAAACATTTACCATGATTCATCAGATCATTTTGTAGGTGTAACCTTGAATGAAATCCATTACTGGACACTATTCTCTAAAATGTAAAATAAATTGGATTAGTTAAAAGTATCCATAGTAGTAGCACACAAACAAAATATTTTTTGACTCAATGGTTGGATATTTTCTGAAATAAAAATATATATATTGCAATAGCAAACTAATAATTTTTTTCTCCTTATATAGCCTTTGATAAACATTGGGGTGGCACATTTTAAGATTATTTTCAAATTTAATGTTTCAAAAACGTATACACGTATTTTCAAACTGCAGAAGCTATGGATCGCGCCTCTATAGTCTTAGTTGTTGGATATGGAACTTTTTCCCAACAGTCAATAAACCGCAGAGTAATTTACACAGTAACTAACTCTTGCAGAAAGCTCTTGCAGAAATAAAAATTTATTCGAAAATTATGAATCGTGAATAATTTAGATGAAAAAGTTAACAGAACATAGTAATGGCTACACATTACCGAAACCCTTCTGGAAGAATCTTACATGATATTAGCTTTTAAAAAAACAAAGGGAGAGCGAGTATTCTGTTCAAGTCTCGGCCTTTAGACATCGAGATTTGTCCCCAACCACCAATTAACCAATTACTAACTACTGATCATCTCACATAAATTATTGTACAAGTAGGTGAAAAGTTGAATAAGTAACTGACTTCTTCCATTGGGAAAAATTGTCTTACTACCTACTGAATTGTCTAACTACCTACCAAGCACCTCACATAAATTATTGTACAAGTAGGTGAAAAGTTGAGTAAGTAACTGGCTTCTTCCATTGGGAAAAATTGCCTTACGAGCGTAGTTTTGTCATCACTCCTGATGAACACCTGACATAGAACTTAAATGAACTATGACGCACAATTGTTGACATCTGTGAGTAAATTGTCTTGAAGGATATAATTATAAGATGCAAAATAGCTCAGTGGGTTTCTTCTTTATTTTAATATAGAGTATTTCCTTCTATTGTTCCTTCTTTCTTAGCTGCACTCCAAAAAAACATTTGCTAGATAATAGCAGGATGTAAGTAATGAGGTAAGTATTTACCAAATTCTTTGCATCTCATAATAAATAGTGTTTCGGATTTTTTTAAATATTTTTTTTATAAAAGTTATATTCGAAAATAATAACAATTTTACAAATTACAGGTACTACAGGTTAAATTTTATTACATTATGTTTCTTAGATTTAATAATACATACATCCTTTAAGTCTGAGTATACTTTCCTCCTTTCTTACTATACTTCATGTGACAGATATTAATTGTAAAAATACTATCCTCATAATCAATTAAGACCAGATTTTGAGTAGTTAAAATTATTTAATCTAAAACAGTTAATAAAATGAGGCATTATCATAGTAAAACCTAAACACAAACTGCCCAATAATTTACATGGCAGTTATTTGAAAAATATGTCTAATTGCCAAAATAGTTGAAGTTATATATTTCCAATAAAGCAAAGCAGATATAAAATTAAAAAATGTTTGATAAAAGAAAAATATCTTTGAGATGAAAATATATGCATATGTAGGTGCATAGTGCTCAGAGGAGCATTCTCTTTTCTATCATTAATTCTAATAATTATATGTATTTTTTATGAGACTAAAAAAAAAAACTGGTTTTTGATTAAAATATTTTTTTTTTCCAATGCCCAGCTGGAGAATGACCTTTTGTCATACAGGCATCTGAAGGGCAGATTTGTTGGCCATTTTTTCAGGGGCACCATATTAGGTGGGTCAACATTGCCACAGTAAGGACAGATAGTACAGGAAAGGAAAGAACATCCATGCGTTGCCCGGGATTTGAACCTAGAACCTTTCTGATGCAAGGCCAGTTCCTTGACCCCTACACATGCCGATTGGCATTGATTAAAATGTATTACCATAAGTTTTACAAGTATTGTTCTCAATTATAGCCATGACTGTGAGTTGTTAATGCCTACTAATCACACCATTGGATTTACAGTAAACTCACAGTAATAACTGCTTTTTGTTGGTATTAATTAGTCATAGCTAATATGCATTCTAAATGAAGAAATCAGGTATAATACTTTTGATCATGATTTAATTGGAAATACATATTAGTATTATTATATATTATATGTACAGTAAAACCTCGCTAAAATACTTTGGGGACCAAATAAATATATTGTTGTACAGGGATTAATTATCATATCGAAGAACTACATACTTAGGGGACACAATAAGTTTTCTCCTACATTTTAATGTTATATATGTATAAACTATAAATCTATTTATATACTAGTGAACTGCGCCCCCTGCTCGCCAACCCCCGAAAATTGCTATGCAATCTTATATGGTTTGCTTTGCAAACCAAGCTCGCTTTGCTCGCTACTAACTTAAAATTCTAAGAATTCAAAACAATCATTCAAATCCATATAAAAACTTGTTTTTTTTTTTTAAAAAAAATTACATCTTTTTAGTAAATACTAAGTCATGAAAATAAATTTGAATTCAAATAAATAACAGGTAATTCCTTAAACCTATTAGAAATGTGCTATGGTATAATTCGCGATATAAATCAAAAATCATCAAATAAATTTGTAATATATAAATTCGTGAAAAAAAGTGCTTTAGACAAAATACTAAAATAGAGATCCATCGACAAAGACTACTCACTTCTGCCCAGCTTAATAGTATGAGATTGCCGCAGCTGATGCTCTCTGGTTATTTCAGTTTCCATTTTTAAAAGCGCTATATGTTGAGCCACCTCAGCTAGATTTGGCATGTGACATTTTTAGCGGCAATCGTTGGTCGATTTTCTAGCGTTGCCATTCGGGGAGTTGTAATGAGGCTTTTTTTGTGGCCGTGTAAGAGAAATAGTAACATAAACAAAACAAAGCAAACGTTGCCATGGGCGGAAAAGAAATACAGCCAAAATTTGGGAGCCACGTAAGAGAATTATATACATTAGATTATATAAAAATATAATTTGCAGAGTGGTAATTATGGTTAAATATAAAATCAGATAGGAATGTTACATCTGTGACTTCCTAAGAGAAAAGGGAAGCAATTCTAAGAATGGAATGTCTTGGGGGTGGTCTATGTACATCAAGGATGGGTTATTGAAGTCTGAATACAACAGACATTCACTGTGGTTAAAAGAAATAAGATAAGTACATAATCAGCAGTGAGTCTTTTCTTCTCAGAAAAGACCAAGAAAAAAAAGAAGAAAAAAAAAGGCAAAATATAATAAAATAAGATTTTTTACATTATTTGGAAACCAATAAAAATGGAGAAAATAGGGATGAAATTTGGCCGGCCAGGTGGCCGAGTGGTTAGCGTGCCTGACTGTGAAGCCAATGGCAGCGGGTTCGAATCTCGCTCTGGGCATGAAGGTTTCTCTCTCTCTGTTGTCTTTTGATGTGTGAATGTATGAATGCGGCCCACCCTATGAACGGGTATTTGTGGCAGTGTGGCGTGGGTAATGTTGCTTGCCTTCGTGACTTTGGTTCACAGGTGCCCACTGGATAAAAATAAATGAGCAACATTTCCGGCATCTTCTAAGGTGAAGAACGAAAGTTCAGTGCCTGCCGTTATCTTTTTTTTTTAAAAAAAAAGGTTGAAATTTGAAGAAAATTTTTTTTCGTTTTACAGGTGGGTTTATTGCTTCAGAGAATATTGAGAGGTGGATAACATTAATTCATATGCAAGTTCGTCGGGACCACGAAACATTATTGTAATAGAGGGAGTTATTGTTGTATCGGATATCGTAGTAGCGAGAGTTCATCGTATTATAAATGTATATTAAAAATAATCAATTAACAAAGCAAATAATAAAGAAGAAAGCATTAAACTGTTTACGTGATATTATAAATTTCATTTGTAATAATCGAACAAAATCACTAGAAGTATATTTCTCAGTTTCGAAAATATGTCTAAATTCTAACTACGTTTCTGGTGTTTATCTCGAGTAACGTCATTTTATAAATCACTTTTATTTAAATAATGTAGACTTGAATAATTTTTTTCTCCCTTTCCATATAACTTTTCTTTTAATGACAATAAAATAACAACTACAGTAGAGAACCATTTATCCGGTATCCAGATAACCGGGAAACCAGAAAACCGGGAAACATTTCGCTCGGTTTTCCCGCCATTATAAACTAGAACGATTATGAAACAAAGCGGAAATTGGACTCATCCTTGAAGTTGAGTAGAGGAAAATGTGAGGAAGGGGAGAATTCACCCCCGTTTTTCCGTGACCTTGAAGATCTTTAGATCGAGAAGAGGCAGGGAAGGGACAAACGTTTTATTTTCTCCTTTAGGTCGTCAATCAAACTCAAAGGAGTGGCATGCTGATTTAGTTTTCTCTTTGTGCATTGCACAAGGCATATCAGTGCATGTGAAAATGCATTGCACATGCATATCAGTGAACAGTAGATGAAAGAGAAAAATATATTTATCTTGACATCGATTAATAAAAATAAAATATTTTTCTTTTGAATAAATTCTTTTTCTTTGGAAGTGTGGTATCATTTGCAAGTTTTTCTTGATGTGGAATCACTTCTGCTTACGTTAAAAATCGTGTTTTTATAAAAAAAAGTAAAATGAGAATTGTTTATTAATTTAAACATACGATTATTTTATAAAGCAGATTGCAGTTTTGCTTTTCTGATTCCACTACGTTTGATTTTTTTTCTTTTCATGATAAATTTTGCACTCAATAAATTAATTCTTTTTATTCATTAACTTTATCATTGGGTTCTTTTAATAAAAAAAACTCCATTAATCTTATTAATCTTGCCTTGTTCCGGGTTTTAATATTTATGCTAGTGCCTTTTTTACCTATCGTTTTGATAATTTTCAAGTGTTGTTTTTATTTAGACTAATAAGTTTTCCTTTTAATTTATCGTCCCCCCTCCCCCCGTATAATTAGGTATGAAATATATTGCATTATTTAATCATTGGTTTTGTTTATATTAGTTAATTTAGGAATTGTAATTATTTTTAAAAAATAAATATGAGAATTTCGTATCTTTCCAACTTGTTTTTCTTGTCTAAATTTGCAAATTTTTTTTATTCTTTTAAATGTTATTTTTCTACCATTTTTTTTTCTTTTTAAAATTAGGAGTGCTTTTCTTTTTTCTCTTACTTTAAAATGTGTTACACTTTTTCCTTGCAATTCAGGTGTGATAAAACATCGATTAACGACACTTTTTGGTCGTTCCAGAAAACCGGGAAATTCAGACATCCGGGATAGCGATGGTCCCGAGCATCCCGGATAATTGGTTCTCTACTGTATTTCTAGTTTTAAATTTTTATTTGTATTTCTGCTAATACAGTACAGAACCCGTTATCCGGAAATCAGAAAACCGGAAAATCAAAAAACCGGAACGAAATTCTATAAATTTACCTGCCATTTTTTAAAAAAATGTTTTTTTCCTCATAAGATTTTAGGATTTTTCTTTCTATTTTGAAAGATGTTTACCTTACCATCATTTTGGAAATAATCATTAGTGTATTACTTCATCGTTTTTTCTTCTTTTTAAGATTATTTCTAAATATTTTTTTTTTTTAGTTGGGTTTAACAATAAAAAAAACGGCTTTTTGTAGCGATTCAGAAAACCGGAAAAATCAGTTATCCGGAATAGCGATGGTCCTGATCGTTCCGGATAATCGGTTCCCTACTGTATTTAAAGCAGAAAATTAGATTTAAGATAAGAAAAAAAAATTTATAAAAAATATCTTTGAAATGAAAAAGTACAATGAATGATCACAATTATAAAAATAAAAAATTGTCTATGACATCAGTTATGTATTAAAAAAAATGACATCATATTAAAAAAAATCTAGTAATTACTTAGTTATTCTACACAATATTTAATAATTCATCTTGATTTAATTAAAGGAGGAAAAAGTAATTTTAAAAAAATTTATGATTTCTAAAATAATGATTTCAACAAAAACATAGTCTCCAAAAATGAAATTCTATTCTTAGTGAATACAGATTACATTATCTTTCATTCTCAACAAAGTTTTATTTTTTTAATAAAGCAACATTTTTCCGCATCATAATAAATATGAGCAAAATATGTGTACAACTAATGCAGCCACTGAGTTTCATCTAATTCTTTAAAAAAAAATATCAATGTTGCAACCGTAATCAATATTAATAAATACACACAAGAGAATTCTTAAACAAGGTATTTATGCAAAATATATTTAAGTCATTAGTAGGTCCCAGGCAAAGTATGAAAAAAGGTTTACAAAATTTGACTTTTTATCTCTTTTTACACCTGGCTGTGTTGCAAAATTTTGTTGTCGGCGCATGCGCATTCCATGCAGCCTGTGCACGTGATGACTCGTGCTGTGAGATAAATAACGAGCATAAATTCTGCCATTCTGCAGCGATCATTGATCATATTTCCAACAGTCTTGAGCGGGAAAGGTAGAAAATGAGGCTAAAATTTATGTTAAGTTAATACGTCGATATGCTAATATATATATACACAGGGAAAGAGAGAGAGAGATAGAAGCGGTCACAGTAACCATTAAGTACCTAAAATTGTGACTCTTGAATTTTTTATTAAACTTTTCTTCCCTAGAAGCATAACACGAAGCTCTGAAGTATTAATACACGTTGGCTAAAATAAAGCCATAAAGTTCTTATTTGCCTTAACTACCTTACTATTTAATTATTAGGATCTAAAAATAAGGTTTAAATAGATTAGAAGGTTTCTCCAATTCAAATTTCAAGATAATTATGCAAATGTTACTAAATTAGTATAACACTACATCCAAGCTTTCATGAACAAATTACCAATACTTACTAAACATGAGCTGAATGTCCTGCAAAACAATGGCTTCAGACCACATAGCAATTCAGATTTTCTAGAGTTCGAAATAGCATACTGTCGAGAAAAAATCCTCCAATGGTGCTAAATTAATAAAAAAAAATTGATTAAGTTACATTTTTCATACTAAATGTAGATAATTTAATGAAAATCAGAGTTCTTTTTTATTTAAATCAGAACATTTTAAAGTTATTAAATCTTTTTATGACCTTTCTGCAAGAACTCTAATAAATATTGGGTCATTAAGTATGAAATGTCCGATTACCTAAAGCTTCAAGTTTGATACCAGATGTCTCCAATATTTCATTTGGATTGTCCTTTATTTTTTATTTTTGCATTGAGAAGGTACGCCATCTGGTTTTCAGGTGCACTTTTTAGTTTTTAATAGTCTATCGCATTGTCCCCTGGAGGTTAAATATTGTAAGCCATTGATAAGACAAAAATGAGAGTTATTTTCGAATATGAGTTCTGTCATGGAACAAATGCAGCGCAGACAAGCCGAAATGTCAACAAAGTGTTTGGCAAGGATGTAGCTAACGAACTTACAGTACGTCGATGGTTCATAAAATTTCAATCTGGAGATTTTGATCTTCAAAATGAACCACGCTGGCGGCCTGAAAGCAAGGTGGATGACAACCAACTGAAAGCTGTAGTGGAAGCAAATCCATCTCAAACGACGCATGAACTAGCATCAAGGTTTGAAGTTACCATCCCAACAATATTAAGTCATGTGAAAGCAATCGGAAAAGTAAAAAAGCTGGATAAGTGGGTTTCGCATGAGTTGAGCGAGCGTCATCAACGGAACCATTTTGAGGCTTGCTGTTCTTTGGCATCAAGACTAAAAGGCGATCCATTTTTGCACCGGATAGACACGTGCGATGAAAAGTGGATACTTTTTGATAATCACAAGCGTTCGGCACAATGGTTGGACAAAGATGAAGTGCCAAAACACGCCCAAATGCGGAGTATACGCCAAAAAAAAAACTAATGGTGTCTGTTTGGTGGTACAGCGCGGGTGTTAAACACTATAGTTTTATGAAACCTGGGCAATCGATAACAGGGGACCTCTACTGTGAACAGTTATAAGAAATGATGAGGCAGCTGCAAATCAAGCAGCCGAGATTGATCAACAGGGACAGACCAACCCTCCTGCAGGACAATGCTCGACCACACATTGCAAGATCCACGTTAGTTAAACTACAGGAACTGGGTCTGGAAACCTTTTGTCACCCACCGTACTCCTCAGATCTCGTGCCAACTGATTACCATTTTTTCCCAGCTTTGGACAATTTTTTGCAAGGAAAAATATTTAATTCCCAACATGCGGTGTAAAATGCATTTCGGGATTTCATCACCAACTGCTCTCCAAATTTTTTTCGCTAGCGATATTAGTAAGCTATCGTTAAAATGGCAATGTTGTATTGATAGTTTAGGTGCATAGTTTGATCAATTATATTATTTCTTACCCGAGATATAATAAACCAAACTTTCAGCCTCAAATCGGACGTTTCATACTTAATGACCCGATATTACATAAACTAAATAGATTTTGACAGTATATACAAACGCAACACAAAGGAAATGCATACAAAATGTACATCATTTGCATATTTTTATCATCCATTTTTGCATTAATTAAAAAAAAAAGAAAGAAAGAAGTACAATTTGTATTTGTTAGTTAGTCCTATAATATTATATAATACTTTAAAATAGAATATTTCTATAGTTGATCTGTACATACTTATCAGGTATGATTTACCTTCAACTAGATAAATATTGTTAATTGATATAGATATTTTTTGAAATTTATATTCGATGAAAAAAGAATTATAAAACTGTTAGAATCTTTTTAATACATATTTTTCATTGGAATAAACAAGATTTTTCTGATTTTTTTGAAATTATAGTAATTTTTCAAAGTGCTTACACACAAGTATTATTTTATATATTATTTCCCCCCTCTAACTCAGTTCGTCATCATGTTAAAAAAAATTTGAATTAAGACATAAATTTTCTAACAATAAATTTAAAAGTGTGGTTAGTTCATAGTTAGATGCAGAGTATCTGCTTAATTTTAGATTTTCAAATTCATGACTTTTCATGATTTTCCATGACTAATTCCAATAATTTTTCACAACTTAACGAAGTTACTATTTTCTCCAACAAAAACACAACAATAAATTTAAAAAAGCATTATAATAACATTAATTGAAATGATAGGTATACAACGCATCTGATACCAAAACTGATATACTACGCATCTTCATATTTATAGATTTTAAATCTAGAAAAGAAAGAGTTGAAACAACAAAATAGCTGGAAAAAATACAAAAGCAAATAATTTTTTTTCCCTTTTTTTCCGGAATATTTTATTCTAAAGATACTTTTCTTGTTCATCGGAAAGGAAAGAAATACTCCTGATTTTTCTGTTTTCAATTCAGAATAAAAATAATTCACCAATGACTGGCTTGCTTCAGCCAGAATTTTAAATTGATAAAATAATAAAAAATAAATAACAAAAATTCCGAAATCACAGAAGTTTAAAAGATAATTCGCTCTAGAAATCATGTTTTTTCTTTCAATTTTTGAAAGAACACCATACTATTTAAATAACACGATAAAAACATTTTATATTTTAATCAAATATGACTGTGAGTGGGGATTTTGTTAGGAATTCAGATATTCGGAACAAGATAAAATTGGGGGAGGGGATTCCACTCTAAAAATTAGATTTTTCGGCAATCTAAATCCATGCCTTTCTATGATTTTTTTTAAAAAATAGTTAAAATCATGACATTTCATGACAAATTTTGTTCAATACTGAAATTCATGACTTTCCACAATTTCTCATGACTTTCCAGGTGCGCGGATACCTTGTATATGATGACCAGCTGCCATTTTTCAGAGAAAATGTATTTTGCTTGTTGTAATCTTTTTCCTCAAAAAGGGACAAAAGAAAATAAATTGAAACTCTTACTATCAAATGTCAAGAAGTTGTTGTATATTATATTTTCATCAATGCAATGGGGTATTCACCTTACACTCAACCTATTTTGCCCATAAAGAAAAAAATTTAATAAATCCATCTTTCTAATTCATATATCCTATATTAGAAACGTTTGTCTAAAATAAGGATAAAATTAGTAAACTAATTAAAATCTGTGAACACCAGATGCAGAAATAGTTAATAATTTGTTATAATTTCATTTAAAGTTAAGCCATATGGCAGAATCGCAGCGACGTTGTTGCAGAACGTTACAGAGTCCTTGCAGAAAGATTTTTATTTTGAGAAGCAAAAAATTTTACTTTTCTTTTCCACTGAAATTAACATTTAATATTTTAATCATGCATTTAGATAATCACTTTTTGACACGTTCAATTCAAGCCGATACCTACTATTCGTAAATCGAGGTAGTGTTTCAATTGTATTTTTGGCAATTATTGATTATCACGTTTTGACTATATCTCGATATATATTTCAAACAAAATGGAAAATTTGAAGAATGCATTTGATTATTTACTTTTTCGGTAATAATTCTATTGATTTTTTTTTTTTTGGCAGTTACTGTTATTGATTTCTCCATAGTTTTTTAATCCCATACTTTTTATACATTATTTTTTACAACAACCTAATCTCGAAAAGAAACACGCAATTGAAGAGTCTGATTCACGTGATTTGGACGTCAATATTTTTCTAGGCAATTACTACTATGGATTTCATGATTTTTTATTGTGATGATTATTTTCAAAAAGCAAAGAAGGAAATAATTTGTGCGCCCCCCCCCTCAACAAAATGGAAGAATATCACCCATAGTATCAGAATAAAAAATTATTACTTGTTCAATTAAGAAAAAATAAATTTTTTTCTTCTTTTTTTTGTAAACACAACGTTTTTTCTATTTTAAATTAGTAACATACATGCTTGTTATTATTAAAAGCATCTTTCAGAAAGATATTAGTGCTAGAGAATTTTGTCGCAGAAAGCTCGGAAAAATTCTGCAATAGGGAAGTTGTTGACATATGCCTGTTTAGGCAGAGGGGGTGCGATTGTTCTTGTTTTCCAGTGGCGCCATCTAAAGCCGAGAATTTAAACAGAGACAGTGACTGTCTAAAAGTCTTTGAATGACCTTGATTAAAAAATGTGAACTCTTAACGTGAAAGCCAAGTTCATAAAGACAAAAATGCTGATTTCGATGTAATTTAGTTTTATTATTGTACTGAACTTGATGTACATTAAACAATCTCAGAAAAAAAAGGATTATTTTTAAAATATTTTTTAATGATTGGATTTTATACTAATCACATAAATGTGTGAGCATTAACCCCTTCACGCCGACTGTCACATATACGTGCCAGCAAGAAACACACTCACTTCCCGACCGACACACTGGCTTGCCAGAGCGTTTTCTTGTTCACCCCCGGCCGTCACTCATTTGTGCCAGTGTCCTGGAACGTTTTAAAAAATAAAATTTCTGCCAGAAGATGGCATTGTATGTCCATATCAGGGGTCTGTTTAGAAGAAATTTGGGTCCGTTAACGTACCCTTCACAAAACCTCTTTTCATAAAAACGGACTCTTCACAAAATATTTTAACTTAAAAATGGACCCTTCACAAAATAATTTATCTTTTAATCGGACCCTTCACAAATTTCTTCATCTTCATTATCATTTTGTTAATCAAATAAACCCTTCCCAAAAGGGGAAGAAAGACAGATGTAAACGAACTAAATTGCGTTTTCGGCAGACGCTTCTTCCTTTATTCGTCCGAAATGAATATTCTACGCTCAGCAGTATAGGCTAAATACCAAATATTTGTATGTCGCATCGCTAATTTAGTAGCTGCCATTGCTGTTTATTTTTTAAAAATTTAATTTTTTTAATCATTATTTTATTTTTTTAATTATTAATTTTATTTTTAACAATTTAAAAACTCATTGAAAAAGTTTTTTTTGCAATAACGGATCCAATTTGCATACATTCACCAAAGCAGGACCCTGGTTGCAAGAATGTGACTTATCGTTTATTTTATATTCACAAATGACAAGTCATTTTTTCACAATTTTACGAAAACGAACCTTTCACAAAATGTCTGGACAGACCCCTGTATATGGTTTTAGATACATGTAGATTTGACCTACTCAAAATGAGAATAGTATGCCTCACATACACATAGTTTTTAGGGAGAAGGAATGGAGGAGAAAGAAATGTTTTATGACGGCTCTTTAAATTCGCACGTGGTATTTGTGTACAGTAAGCAGGGGAGGTTTTTTTCCCCTTGCAGCATTGGGTATTTCGATTTGTGGTTCAGTTTTTAGTGCAATGTCAGTGTCTTCAAATTTTTCATACATAAAAGAATTTTAGGTCATATAATTTAGTTTTCAGATATATAATGGTGAAAGTTATTAAATGGTAAGTACATAATGAAAATAAAATGTGTAAAATATAAATTTAAACAAGAAATAACTTAATTAAATAAAGTATTTATAGAAATATATATATAGCATTTGCAATTTAAATATTCTGCAGCATATTATTAAACCATGCGTTGATATTTCGGTATTTCATGGATTTAGGCTTAACAGCAAAAAAACCCTCCGGCCGTGAACAGAAACTTGCGAGAGAGACTGCCGGCCTCAGCGATAAGCGCAAGTTTGCGCTTCCCGTCACAAAAGGGTTAATACAGGAATTACCTCTCAGTCTAAACTGATAAAAAATTTATCTTTGAAACAATACAATACTTAAATTTAAATAAATAAATAAAAAAAATTGTAAGCGCTGCAGATAATATGTCAACTAGTTTCAAAAGCTGGTAAAAATTAAAAGAATGTATGTAGTAAATCTTTTATAATTTTCCCAAAATATCATCAATTGGATTTTTACATGATGGATTGTAAAAATGGAATCCTCTTCAGCTTTTAGGTGAGTTTTTATATTTTGAGAAATTTTATGTTATACTTTTATTTTCTTAATTTATGCAGAGTGGTAACAGAACTGCTACCTGGCAGTAACGATTTAATTTTGATTTGCAGTATTTTCCTTTCACGGAATGCTAAAAAAAAATACATGCAATGAAAAATGTCCCAGAAATTAATGCAAATGCATCCACATGTTTTTGTTAACTTAAATTTCCAAGTTTATAATCCATTTGTCACCTTGGAAATTGTAGTTATACGATGGATAACGATATATACCCTCGAAAACGATAGTTAAAGAGCAATATCTAAAAAGTAACAACCAATGGAATTTGTCTACAAGAATAATATATGAATGCAAGTTAGAATAATTACGAAATTCTGAATTGGGATTCAATAAAATAACACTTGAGTTCATGCAATTAGTCAAAAGTTTATGCATAGTAATTACCAACGAAAATTTACGATGTTCAGATAATTTTAAAGAGAGACTATTTGAAATACTCAAATATCTTGATAACGTCATAGTTATCTAGTGTGGAAAAATCACTTTAACTCTTTGAGTGCATTTTCTGCTGAATATTTTCTTTAATTTTATAACATCTTCCAGTTAGAAATTAATTCGTAATGGCAAGAGAATTATCATAATGAATATCAAGCCACTTTTTAAAGAAGCACTATCAAAATATAGAAATGACTTTGTGCTCTAGGGCTTTGCGTCATTCAGACATGGTTAATAAGGTTTTGCCTGCTCATTTCTGTTCGTAAGAACCATTCTCATTCTACCGTGGTTAACCGTATAAAGTAGTAGTTCGAATAAATACCTAAGTACTACGATCCTTTCAAGGAAAAAAGAAGAAGAAAAAAAAAAAAAACAGTAACACAAAACGACAAGGTTCACGGTGAGTGAGATCCATAGAAATTCATACTGCACTCAAGTGACCCACGCAGGTCCACACGACCCTTTGCATCACATCCGTGGAGGATTTGCAAACGCAATCTGTTGCACCAAAAAATTTAATTTGTTCAAACAATGAAATTTTTCAATCGCGGAAACGCATAACTAAGCGGAAACGCGGAAACGCTAACTGCATAAAACTAAGTCTCAAAGGCTTAAAACTGGAGACAAGGACGGCCAAGCTAATCCTACTCAAATTGTCTCTGATTTACCAATGGAGTAAGAAATGTATTCAGAAGTACTATTTTAACATTTTCACAAAAAGTAGAAGAAACACCAAAAAATAAAAGTGCGCATGCTTAAAAAAAGAAGAAAAAATTCCCTATGAGTCTTGCATCCATCCAAAAGCAAGTTTTGCTGAATCTTGCTAAAAGCAATTGAATTCTTTTCATCTAGCTCTTAACATTGTAATTTGAGTGTCGATTTTATTTTTAGACATTATTTTTGTTGTTGTTGTCGTTAATTTACGTCGCACTAGAGCTGCACAATGGGCTATTGGCGACGGTCTGGGAAACATCCCGGAGGATGATCCGAAGACATGCCATCACAATTTTGATCCTCTGCGGAGGGGATGGCACCCCCGCTTCGGTAGCTCGACGACCTGCGCGCGAAGTCGAGCACTTTACGGTAGCACAGTTTAACGAGGACCAATACCGCACACCCTCGGTCCCTACACAGAGTGATCCAAGTGGTCACCCATCCGCACACTGATCGCAGCTAGTGATGCTTGACTTCGGTGATCTGCTGGGAACCGTGTCTTAACGATCAGTCCACTGCGGGACAGAATTGATTAAAATTTAATGATTGGATTTTTGGAACGGGGGGATTGAATTAAAATTTAATGTATTTCGAAATAATTTTATATAAAACTAATGTTTTTGTATAGTTTACATTCATCTTGGTTCATTCAGATCAAGTTGTTGCTTCTTTCCATTACCTAAAAACTGTCTAAAGCAAGTCCAATTTTTATAAACAATAGAAGTTCTTGAAGACAAACTATAATAGGCTTGTGACAGCGACATCTTGTGATGAATTGACTCCATGAGATAAAAATACAGCGTCCTCTGCAGTGACCCATATTTTTTTGCAAGCTATAAGCTAATGTTACTCACAAACTAATTTTTAAGGTTACTAGCTTGGACCAAAGATTTGTTTATTTTACTCCATTCTGATAAACTAGGCTATTTTAAAAGAACGAATATAATTTATTCTTATGATTTTATCGATGTGAACATTTAGGATTATTAAAAGTTGTTTCTGAAATTTAATAATGTATTTTTTATCGAAGCTAGTTGTATGTAACAGAATAGGTTGTATTTAAAAAATGATAGGTTATGATAAATTTGTTTTCACTGTAATTCTTTTAACAAAGATTTATGCATGCGGCTGTGATGTGATACCGAAAATGAATCAATGTTCAAGGGATGAATGCGCAGAAATGCATCAAGGATTGCTTCCTTATTCACCATTAGTTCCATGTTACACTTTGTAGGATTGTTAATCATTTTACCTCTTGAAATTTAATAGTCAAAGTGCATTTTATTACTTCTACTTGCCACAATGTTTTCTTTAAAACAGATTATGTTATTTACACTCGAAATATTAAAATGTGCATTGATGACTTAACTGCATTCACACTTCGAATACTCGAAGCATGAGTGAGAATCACTGATCTATATGTATATTTATTATTTTAAAAGTATCTTGCAGAAAGATGTTAGTATTAGAAAGATATATCGCTGAAAGCTCGAAAAAATTCTGCCTCGGGTGCATGACAGATCACAATTCAGAAGTATCTCCAGGGGGGGGGGGGAATTCAAATTTTGCTCTAAACTGTTCTGACGTTGCTGTTCAAAGACATACTAAGTTTAATCTGATTTCATCTTCAGAGAAGAGTGGGGATGTTCTTATTATTTTTTTAAAAAAAGAATTTGTCATTCGTTGTTTTTTTGTCATTCGTTTATCAAAATAAAATTTAATCTAAATTACACATTTAGAAATTGAGAATTTGATTGGTGCATTTGAAGTAGATGGGGTTGGCTTTTTGCCAGCAGAAACAGGTTTTTGCCATGCCAGTGGCAGAAACTGGTTATAACCGGTAAAAACTGGCAGAAACTAAAAAAACTTCTATTTTAGTTCTAGTAATTGGTTAATGACATTTTGTTTAAGTAAACTGAAAAATGTAACTCCATATAACTGTAACAAACTTTTTAATTCATTGTTTGTCATATATATTATTTTGTTTACATTAAATATAAAGAGTGCAGTATATCAAATATTTATAACAAATCGACCCCACAAAGCAAATTAAACAAATCGGCCCCATTTCCTGAAACTTATTTTTCCAGTCAAGTTTTGACAACTACCCCAGCTGCTACATGGCGGTCCAGTTTTAAAAAATATGCAATAGATGAAAGTTTCACAAATCTTGCTTGTTCCTTGATGGCAATGCCTGTTAGTTTTGCTGGACTTGAGAGAATCTTCTCAAATTTCTCGTTCGTGCATAGCAAATTGAGAAATTGTTTAGGTTTAGAAACTGCATCAAAACTTGTCTTTTGTTATAGATTAATGCAGAGTGTAATGTAATATTTGATTTTGAATGGTGATAATTTTGTAAATAAATTGAACTTTGTTTAACATTTAATTGTTTTTTCTATGAATTATCCGTTGTATGTCAATCTCAGTACTTACTTTTATGTGCAGAAAAGAGTTTCTGCCATACCAGTTTTAACTGGTTTCTACCAGTGATTTTAACCACCTCGGCTGAAACTTGCCAACCTTGGAAGTAGACCAACATAGCAACATGAAGAAACTTTCAGTGGGAAGGCTTCTTAAATTTGTAAAACACTTGAATTTTAATTTATTACAGTAGAGAACCATTTATCCGGTATCCAGATAACCGGGAAACCAGAAAACCGGGAAAAATTTTGATCAGTTTTCCCGCCATTTTAAACTAGAACGATTATGAAAAAAAA